ACTCTTTATCTTATGCCCCCCCCAAGTGATTTCAGAGACCTTTTAAGTTCCTGGACTGCACTTTGAGAACACTGCTTTAAAGTTTAAACAAAACGAACTCCCTATAGTACTTGGTCACTAGGGAACCTGGCTCTCTAATATTTGAAATTAGACAGATGTGCTGTAGTGAATACAAGTGCTCCAAGAAAAGAAAAGTGGTAGGGAAAAGCAGCACAAAACCTGCTTTAAATTAATGTGAGGAAAAGAAAGTCCGCACGAGTGATATAGGTAAGAGTTCATGAAGGAAGCCTGGTTTTGATACAGTATGGGGCTGAGATTGAACCAGTTACCCCGTCAAGATATTTTGTCTTAAGAGTCTGTGATTAAGAATTCAAGTGTGAATTAAGATACTTGTACCCTTGCATTTGTGTGGAATATGCAGGGACCAAATGGAAAAATCCCAAGGAATACTGACCCAGCTTTTGTAAAATTCCTATTCTTGAATCAATTATTTTAACCATCAGGTAAAGTATATAATTCGTCTTTTCTGAGTCAGTTGTTTCCCCCATAGTTGTGTCTAGAAAAGTAGCTCTTTAATATGGCAGGCATATTTGGAGCCTCTGATGACAGAAGAGGTAATATTTCTCTTACAGAATGTATACATACAGGAATTATCTTACTTTCTGAACATGTTTTCTTGCTATAGGAAAACTAGAAGGACGTGCTAAAAGGAATAAGAAACAGAATGTTTCTCAGTAAGCCCAACCTCAGGCCCCCGGGAGGAGTGTGCAAGTGCCAATTGTGGTGAACTGGGTCCATCCCCTGCCCCCGAACTGTGTGGGGAGGGGCGAAGCCAAGCCCAGAGGTCCCTGATGGTGTGCACAAGTGCTGGCCGGAGAGCACAGGGGCGGGGCGACCCCCAGGAGGCTGGTGGAATGCTCCCTGCGCCTGGCGCTGTGGGCGGGCAGCTGGCTGGTTACCGTTACTGCAGCCTGGGCCAGTGGTGCATAGTGTCTCCTGTGGTCCCTGAGGTAGTTGCACCTAAGCCCCCCGGGCAGCAGCCCCTCCTTCTCTTGGCTGCAGCCAAGGCTGCTGGGGTTCCAGGCCAGTGCGCAGTCTGGGGCGGGGCTCCAGGATGACACCTTGCCTCAGCTGCTTATATCTCAGGGAATGCCAAGGACCCAGCTCCCTCCCCTTGGAAGTGGCATCGTGCAACCTCCTGTATCAGGTACAGAATTTCTCATGGGGATGACAAAAATGTTTTGTGTATAGAAGTGGTGAGGTTAGACAGCATTGTGAATGTATTTAATGCCACTGGATTATATGCTTATGAATGGTTAAAATGATAAATATTATATTACATATATTTTACAATTTAAAAAATAGTAATTTATAGAAAGACAACTATAGCCCTAATAACATGTCTACTAATTATATAGAGTTATGGCCCACAAGTCTAGAACACTGCCTAAGTTTTTCTATAGCCCATGAGCTAAATATGGTTTATATGTTTTTGTTTTTGTTTTCATGTCAGAAGGGTAATGTGCCGACGTTGTAACAAGGACTAAGGGAGGCACATCTCATGCATGCACGTGAAAACCCAATCATCATGCTTATGAACAACAAAAGGATTTATATACATTTTTTTTTTTTATTATTCCAGGGTATTGTGAGGGTACAAACATTATAGTTACACTTTATGTCTTTGCCTCACCCAAGTGCGGGTTAAAGGCATGCCCTTCCCTCCCTTTAGTGCTCCCCGTCTCCTTTAGTTGTAGATTTGCCCCCCCATCCCCCTAATCCCTAGAGAGTATTTCTGCCATGTGATCACCCTAGTGTTGATCAGTTAGTACCAATTTGATGGTGAGTACAAGTGGAGCCCGTTCTTCTGCTCTTGTGGTGCCTCACTTTGGATAATTTTTTTAATGGTTGAAAAAATGTAACCTCAACATTTGTGGTTTTAATTTGCATTTCCCTGGTGATTAGTGATGTTGAACATTTTTTAATCTGTTTATTGGCTATTTGTCTATCTTCTTTTAAAAAGCTTCTATTCATGTCTTTTGCCCACTTTTTAATGGGGTTGTTTGTTTTTTTCTTGCTGATTTGCTTGAGTTCTTTATATAATAGATTCTGGTTATTAGCCCTTTATCAGATGTATAGCTTGTGAATATTTTCTCCCATTCTGTAGGTTGCCAATTTGCTCTGTTGATTATTTCCTCAGCTGCGCAGAAGCTCTTTTAATTTAATCAAGTCCTGTGTTTGTTTATTTTTCTTGCTGTTGTGATTGCCATTGGGATTTTTCTTCATAAATTCTTTGCCTGGGCTGATATCTAGAAGAGTTTTTCCAACGTTTTCTTCTAGAATTTTTATGGTTTCATGTCTTACATTTAAGTCTTTTAATTAATTTTTGTGAGTGGTGAGAGATACGGATCCTGTTTCATTCTGCATGTGGCTATCCAATTTTCCCAGCACCATTTATTGAGTAGGGATTCTTTTCCCCAGTGTATATTGTTGTCTGCTTTGGCAAAGACCAGTTTTCTGTATGGACCAAAGTTTTTTAGACTATTGAAATTAACTTAGTATTAATCTAAACTAGATTGTGTTAAGACACCAGGACAACCACTAAGAAAATACCTCAAAATAATAGTAAAACTAACTATAGGATAATTAAAATAGTATACTAGAAAATACCTACTGTTATGTAAATGACCCCAAAATCGTCTCCGTGTATTGGCATCTAGGTTGCTTATTTCTTCACTGCAGGCTGAGCCATGTTAGCTCAAAAGTCCATTGGCACCAAACTCAAATTTTTGCCCATCTACAAAAGTTTAAGATAGTCTAAACAAGCATATCTTTAGCCTTTTAGAGTTTTCCTGATTTGCATACCTCACAAAATCTCACCCCACATCTTCTGGCCATTGATAGATAGTGACTCATGGGTGTAAGACGCCAACCTGCCATGCTCTTTTGGAGCTCTCTAACTCAGAGACTTCCCACCGTGCTGCTGGGTGACATCACCTAGACACATAAGTTCTTTCTCTGATCCTCCTCTCTTTTTGGAGTCCTTTGACCTATTCCCCTTCTGAGCAGTGACAGCCCATGCTCTAGTCTCAGGACTCACTCTTGCTGTGAGGAACTTTCACTTGCATGCAAACCTGTCCGAGTGTTACCCAATAAACCTTGTATATTCTTCTGCCACCTTACACGCATACCTTTTTCCTAGATTAGCCACAAAATCCCTCAAACCCCTATACTTATTTAACAGAAGCAGTGATGGAGGCAGGGGTAAAAAAGACAAAAGACATAAAAGGCAAATAGCAAAGTGGCAGATATATATCCTACATTGTCAGCAATGTAAATGTAAGTTGATGAAAAAATCAATCAAAAAACAGAGTTTCTGAAATGGATATTTAAAACAAAACAAAATATGATCCAGCTGTATGCTCTCTACCAGCGGTCCCCAACCTTTTTGGCTACCAGAATAAGAAACAGAATGTTTCTCAGTAAGCCCAACCTCAGGCCCCCGGGAGGAGTGTGCAAGTGCCAATTGTGGTGAACTGGGTCCATCCCCTGCCCCCGAACTGTGTGGGGAGGGGCGAAGCCAAGCCCAGAGGTCCCTGATGGTGTGCACAAGTGCTGGCCCGAGAGCACAGGGGCGGGGCGACCCCCAGGAGGCTGGTGGAATGCTCCCTGCGCCTGGCGCTGTGGGCGGGCAGCTGGCTGGTTACCGTTACTGCAGCCTGGGCCAGTGGTGCATAGTGTCTCCTGTGGTCCCTGAGGTAGTTGCACCTAAGCCCCCCGGGCAGCAGCCCCTCCTTCTCTTGGCTACCAGGGACTGGTTTCATGGAAGACAATTTTTCCATTGACAGGGGTGGGGGCAATTGTTTTGGGATGATTCAAGTGCATTGCATTTATTGTGCACTTTATTTCTATTACTATGACATTGTAATATAAAAATAAATAATTATACAACTCACGATAATGCAGAATCTAATGCTGCTGCTGATCTGACTGAAGGCGGAGCTCAGGTGGTGATGCAAGCAACACTGTCAACCAGCCAGACTTAACAGACATCTGCAGAGCACTCCACCCTGCAACAGAAGAACACACATTATTCTCGAGTGCATACGGAACATTCTCCAGTATAGGTCACACATTAAGCAATGAAACAAGACTGAATGCATTTTAAAAGATTAAAATCATACAAAATAAGTTTTTTGATTAGAATATAATGAAATTAGAAGTCATCAACAGAAGGTAACCTGAGAAATTCACATATATGTGGAAATTAAATAGCACACTACTTAGACTGATGTAGAAAAAAATTAGAGAAAATGCATATTATTAACATCAAGAATGAAGAAGGAAACATTGTAATTCCTCTTAAAGATAACTTAGTTGGAATGAGAAATTCTTAGAAAAATACAAAATACTAAAACTGGCTCAAGAAATGTTAGATAATCTGAATGGAACTATAACAAGTAAAGAGATTTAAATAGTAATATATATTTTTTTAACTCCCGAAGAAAAGATCAGACCCAGCTGGCTTCATTGCTGAGTTCTATGAAACATTTAAAGAAGAATTAACACTAATCTTTCTCAAACTCTTCCAAAAATAGAAGAGGAGGGAACATTTCCAAGAACTCATTCTTAGAGACCAATATTCTCAGATACCAAAACCAGACAAACATCACAAGGAAAAGAAGACTAAAGAACAAAATGCCTTATGAATATAGCTATAAAAAATAATCAACAAAATATTAGCGAACTTAATCCAGAAGCATATAAAAGGATTTTTTACCATGACCAAGGGAAACTTATCCCAGGAATGCAAGATTGGTTTAATATCAAAAAATCAATTATTATATTCTACTTTAAAGGGGTGATTTTATGACATGTGAATTGTATCTCATTAAAGCTGTTATTTAAAAATATAGCCATTGTGCTATTTTCTCCCTTCTACAGGTTTCTCTTAACAAAGAAGAAAAGCAGTATCTGTTTCACAGGAAGAGTGAAAGAAGATGAATTATATTGTACCCCTTTCTGTAAAACTGAATGATGGACGCTTCATGCCTACACTGGGGTTGGGCACCTCTGCTTCTACTAAGGTAGCCATATGGTATTGGGCATGGAATGGCATTAGGTAGCAGACATGGTTCCTGACCAGAACCAGTCACTGTGAGTTTGGGAAATTCATGTGGGTCTCACTTTCTTCATTTGTAAAACACTTCTCTTCAGGTCACGTTACTCTGTGCATTAAGTCAGTGCTTTTAAAATTTTAGTAGAGCTATAAACACTTGAGGATCTTATTAAAAATGCAGATTTGGAGGCCCTGCCCCCAAAGTTTCTGATCGAGTAGGTCTGGGGCAAGGCTCTAAAATTCACACTTCTGATGAGCTACCAAGTGATTCTGATGCTGCTTGCTCAGGACTGCACTTAGAGTGGTGCTGTATCAGGGTCATCTTTCAGAATTCAGCGGTGGGTAAGTCTGTTTTTGCTACTCTCATTGGGTGTCTAGTTGTAGCCATTTCACAATATATTACGATAAACGAAATCCAGTTGCCATGACTACCATATGTCAGAAACTTCACAGCAAACTTGCTTGTGAGGAAGTCGCTCTGTGATTTTTAATGTCCACCACTAATCATAGACTATCTAGAGAAAGCTTTGTGGCCAAGGGACTTGGAGTCAGAGGGACAGGATTAGAGGGAGTGTGATGGTCTGGGGTGAAAACAGTCTCCTACAGATCTGGTTGTTAAGACTGTGCCACGGGGAGAGCCAAGTGGCACTTGGAAATTTTCCCTCTCTGTGGAAGACTGAACTCCGTGCACATTTCTGGATCAAATGCTGCAAACTTACAAGGGCACATCTCAGTGGTTCTTGGTGAAGAAGTTTACAATTGTTTAGAAAAGTCGTAGGATTGATTTACCGACATTAAAGGCACATGGTGTATTATATTGAGGGCTATGAGCAAAAAGGCTGGCAGGAAGTTCTGCTTTTGCCTTGACTTGGCTCTAACCTGTGGACAGTCAGTGAATCTTTATGGAACTCAATTGACTTATCAGGAGTTGGAAATCAAAAAAAAATATACCCAAGAGGCATTTTAATTACTGAGTGAGGTACAGGAGGTGGTAATGCAAAGAGAACAACTGTGGATGACTTCAAGAGTCCAGACTGGTGGGCCAGAGAACAGTAGGCACCTAAGAAAGATAATAAAGTTTTGAAGGAGAAAGTGTCACCTAAGAACCAGCTTAGCAACCAAAAAAAGAATTATGAGACATTTTTGAGTGGAAAAAAAATGTTTATATTCTTTTTCATTTTTGTCCTTCCTCAAATGTTCTTTGAGGAGTTTTTCCAAGTTTAGGTAAGTAAATCACTAATTTATTGTGTGTAAAGTTGTATCTTTGCATTGCTAGATAATTATTATCATTGGATATCTGGGTTGAAACCAATTTAGTAATCTCTTATAGAATTAATTAATTTAAGAATGTAAATCTATAGATTGTGTAAATCCATAGATCATGTAGATAGTATAAATACACAGAGTGTGAAAACCTGTGACATGCTGGGTCTAGCTCACTTAGACTCACAAGAGTCTTATGAACATCTTTTCCTAATTTTGGAAGCTTAAAATTAGGAAATATGGCAATATATACACCATAGAAATTGGAAAATACAACAAACCAGGACTTCTCTTCTTCAGATGGTCAGTTGTTGAATATTCATCACTGTTTATAACTCAGCATTTAGCTTTGCCACCTCTAGCTCTTAGTCTTTAGAAAAGCAATAGGTTCTGTTGAATAGCTCTGCTTATGGAATTGGTCATCTATTCCTGAGTTGAGTAAGTCTTTATCTTTTTATACTCTTCTAGGTTGCTAAAGGCAAGGTAGAGGAGGCCATCCAGATAGCAGTTGATGTAGGCTACCGCCATATTGACTCAGCTTACATATATCTAAATGAAGAGGAGGTTGGGCGGGCCATCCGGAAGAAGATCGCCAATGGCACTGTGAGGAGAGAAGACATATTCTATACGTCGAAGGTGCTGCATACAGTTACATCTGTACCTGTGGGAAGCTCACTCTTAGCACTCTTAGTTTCTTGGCAAATTTTTCTTCTTACTGGTTTGATCTTCATCCAATGAGACCTTGCACCTAAAAAGGCTGGTTAGGAATGTGGATTCTGTAATCAGACTTTTACAATTAGATCCAGGCTCTTCCACCTCCTGTATGTGTGACCTTGGACAAACTACCTAAACTCTGTCCCTCTGTTTCCCAAGCTGTAAAATGAAGATATTATTAAATATCATTTACTGAACAGGATTTTCATGAGTGTTAGGTTAAAAAAGTACACATAAAGCTTGTAGAAAAGTATTTGATACATTTTAAATGCTTGAAAATGCTGGCTGTTATTATCATCATACTTTTTAAAACTCAGGAATGACTTGGGTTTTCCAACTCTGCTCTACTTGAGTTGTGACAATGTGACTTGATCTTTAGCCATAGTTTGAGGTAATGTGATTTAGTCAGAAAATGTAAGCTTTGGAATCAGATGAAACTAGGATCAAATTTTAGTTCTTTAATATTCTGTTTGACTTTGTGAAATTCCTTAACCCAAAAGTAGTTTTTTAACCTCTCTGAGCCTTAGTCCTCACGTCTCAAGCGATTATGTGGTCAATGCATATTTATTTCTTATCTTTGTGTAGTAGGAATAATAATACCTCAGAAATGATATGACGATGAAATTAATGTTTTTGAAAGTACTTATGTACTTCTTAAAAAATTCTTGAGTTATTTTCTCCTAATATCCTTCATATCCATTCACATCATATCTAAAACAAGTAGAAGAACTTAGATATTTAAGTCAGATTGAAAAGGAAGCCCCCAAGGAATTTTTCCCCGTGTTTAGTCAACTGACGGCTGCTATGAAGGAAAAAAAAGCCACATTTAAACTTGAGGTGAAGGAAAGATCGAGTTGAGGCCCATGCACGTGAATCCTGTGCAAGTCTATAAAGGGACATTCCTTCTAGACCATAAATGTGACATATGACTGTTTTCAGATGTGGTGTAGCTATAGCACCAGCCTTCTCACATTCATTTTTTAATTCTCCTTTAATTTGTTTCTTTCATTTTAGTTATTTTGATAAATTTTCCCCTGGATTATTACTTCTTAAAATAAAGTGACTAAATTACTCCCAGAAAAGTTCCTCCTGGGCCTTTCTTTGGAAAATCACTTGGGGTTCTTGTCCGGCAGCCAATTCCCAGTCTGGTTTCCAGATACTGTGTTTGGGCTAGAACCCGGGAATATGTTTTATACAAACAAATCCAATAATTCTTTTACATTCTAAAGTTTGAGAACCTCTGCTGTCAAATCATATTTCTATTTTCTACATCTATTGCCCTAATTTAGGATGAAAATGCGCTACGATGTTAAAGAGCTCAGGAGCTTCACTGGGTAACATGTCGCTTCTATTCTACTATAAGAGGGATTTTGGTTGCTGATGTGGTTTATTTGCCATTTCATTATTCTGTCCTAAGGATTTTTGAAGAAATAATCCCACATGGCTTCTCTTTCAACTCTTGCAGGTGTGGAGCACCTTTTTTCATCCAGAATTGGTCCAAATGTGCCTGGAAAGATCACTGAAGAAACTTCAGCTGAGCTATGTGGATCTCTACCTTATTCATCTCCCAGTGTCTTTGAAGGTTAGCACCAGTTGTTTTACTTTGATGATCCATGTAAAAAGTAGTTGCTGAATACAAAAGAACACACAGTTTGTGAAGACGAGAAGAACAGAATACTTTAAGACCGACTGTCTCTCTCTCTCTTTTTTCTGAAGACTGTTTCCACCTCAGTTCACTACTTCAGCTCCAGAGTGACAGGGGTCACTGGTGCCAACACCTCTACTTCAATCTTGTGGATGTGCCACCTATTTTTAAGTTCTTGTGCTCTGGAATCTCAGCCTCTTGCTCACTGATGTCTGTTGAGGAAGAGAAAGTTTAATGCAGATGAGACTCTGCATTGAGATGCTGACAAGTTACTGACAAGGGAGAGAGTTCTTCGCCAGGGCCTAGGACCAAAGGGCCCACTGGGCATGGCACCACTCTGGGCTCTGTCCTGGGAGTCTTAAACTTTTAGCACTTAGAAGCATTTCTAAGAAATGTGTTTACTCAATGTACTTCCTTTGCCTTTAGACTAACTTTACAAATCCTTTCAAGAATTAAGGACAAATTGTTCCATTGGTCTCAAGGTCTCTAGGCCCCAAACAGCTTGGCTGAGGCCAGACAGAGCTTTCTACAAGCTCCCCTTCTTTTCTGTGTTCCAGCCTGGGGAGGACATTTTGCCAAAGGACACACACGGAAAAATTATTTTTGACACCGTGGATCTCTGTAGCACATGGGAGGTGAGTGAAGCTCCAGACAGGTCATGTCCCTGCACCTTGGGGGATTCAGGAAAAGGGGCATCTGGTCCAATTCTGCCTCCTGTTCAAACTCAGGAGAGCCCCTGAATGTCCCTCTGCTTCTGTTGTCACATATCATTCACTTAATCACCCAACAAGTATTTATTGAGTGTCTAGGTCTATCACGCTCTACTCTGTGCACTCAGGCTACATCAGTGAACAGAACCAAGATCTTGGCCCATGAGGTAGGTGTCATGGGAGCAGCAGATAAAGCTGAATGAAGGACAGAGAGTGCCAGCATGGGTTTGGGGCACAGAGAGGCAATTAAAAAGAGAGTGGCAGAGTAGGCCTCTTTGAAAGGGTGACATTTGAGCAAAGACTTGCGGTAGATGGAGGAGTTGATTGTATGGGGAAAGAGTGATATAGGCAGGAAGAGAGCCAAGGCAAAGTTCTTAAGAGGGGAGAGACATTGCCATGTTTAAGGAATAGCAAGGGGACAGAGGAGACTGGGACAGAGCGAGTGAGGTGGATGGAAGGAGGACCTGAGGTTAGAGAGAACAGGGAGCAGAGGTCTGGCAGGTGGTCTTCCTGCCTTCATGCTGCACCTGGCTGCACCCCCTGTGCTTCTGGCACTTGTTTTATCAATCCTCAATCACGTTTTTCTAGGCATTCACTAAAGAGTGTGCTGGCTCCTTTAGCTCTGTCTTGGTCTGTTGAGGAAGAGAAAGTTTAATGAGGATGAGACTCTGCATTGAGATGCTGACAAGTTACTGCCAAGGGAGAGAGTTTCTTTTCTTACTCTATCTTCTTACCCATTTTTTCCCTATTACTTTAGTTTTTCTCTTACTCAGTCAATCCCTGCCTCGTTGGTTGACATCTGTACCTTGAAATACTATGCCTCTCCCAGTCTCCCATGCTCCCACCCCCAGCCCCACCCTTAGCGTGCTAACATTTATTTCTTTCTCTAGCCTGTGACACAGGTTATGCCTCATAAACCCTTCCTCCCCAGGCCATGGAGAAGTGTAAGGACGCAGGATTGGCCAAGTCCATCGGGGTTTCCAACTTTAACCGCAGGCAGCTGGAGAAGATCCTGAACAAGCCAGGGCTCAAGTACAAGCCTGTCTGCAACCAGGTGAGCACCACCCATCTGCCCTGCCAACTTCTTCTTGCTCTGCTATTCAGCTTTCTCTTTCCTCAATTTGATAAGGCCATCGATGACATTCCCCTCTCATGTATTTTACTGTGGAACATCAGATGCTTCAAGAGAACAGAACACATTTCAAATTACTGAAGATAGTGCCCAAGGCCATTGCACTTTATAAAAAACATCTAAGGGTTTTTTGTACTTAGAGTATAATCTACTAGGTATTGTGGTGGTTGGTCCTTGAAGTTGGAGCTAGCAAATGACTGACAGCCACTTCCCATCACATGAAACGTCAGTAATTTTGGAACACTTGCGTGTAAAAGAAAAGGTGTGATTCATCTTTAAGTTTGACAACTCCTTTAAGTGCTGTGCCATGAGATGACCACTGACCCTCTCGATAGTGGAAAAATCTCTCCCAAACTTGTGAAAAGCTACTGTTTTTAAAAGACTACTCTGAAGATGGATAATGGTGATGGTCGTAGGACCATGTGAATGTGCTTAATGCCACTGAAATGTCCACTTAAAAATGGTTAAAATGGTAAAATATATGTTGTGTACATTTTACTACAATAAAAAATTAAAAGTAAAATATTTTTAAAGTCTACTTATTAAGGTAAACCCACTTAAATGGGCAGCACATAAACGGCCCTATCTTGGAGGATTATGAAAGAAGTCGTATGAGTATAGGAACGATGGACAATACTTCTGCGCTGTGGGAGGCTCACACTTTGCGCAGATGACCACTCCTTTTAAACATCTTACATGCAGATGGAGTGAGGACAAGTCAATCCATGTATTATTAGTAAGGCTGATTTTTAAATTTTTTGGATGAAAAATACAAGTAGGAATTCTAAAAAGTTTTCTTTTGTGTCCCCTGGGAGGTTTACCTCCACTTTAGGCATCATCAATATAGAGAAAGAAAAAAAATGGTTTTGACTACAGTACTTGGTGAAGAATCAAAAGGGAAGCTAGACCCTACCCTGAGCTCTAAAGGGTGAAAGGAATTTGGCCAAACGGAGGCTGACTGGTTGTGAGGAAGATGGCATGGCATGGAAAGCTTGAACCAAAGTAGGGTTCATTACCATCTGTGCAGCAATCTGGTCATAGTAAGAAATTAGCTCAGGTGAAGTGTTACAGGGTCCAGAATTGGTTTTAATCCCTGAATCCTATAAATTACCCTGCCTCCTCTTTAGTGTTCACGACTATTAACAACTAGCAATTTATTTCCACCTGATGATAAAACGGCCAAAAGTGTTTCCAAATCCCTTTCCACACGGGGCAAGACTGAAGCTTGGGGAAGGGCATGGGTGCAATAATTCAGGGTAGGACCATTTTTGGGGGGAGCTTTAAAGATCAAACAAAGACATCACAACATGATGTGGTATGAAGGAGGAAAACATTCCAGTTCCTGGAGCTCCAGGATGACCTGAGGAAAAAGTGACTCAGATTTGAGGGATGATTTCTTTGGAGAAATGTCTGTACAAGTTCTTTGCCATTTTCCAATTGAGTAATTTGTTTATTTATTTATTTATTTTTGCTCTTGAGTTGTAGGAGATTCTTATATATTTTGGATATTAACCCTTTATACCTATAGTTAATAGTATGTTCACTTTAAAATATGTTAAGGATAGATCTCATGTTAAGCATTCTTATTTTTAAAAAAGCCCCACCCCCCCCAAACACAAAACAAAACCAAAACCATAAGCACAGAAGAATACAAGGGAATTTTTGGAGGTGATGGATGTGTTTAATGCATTGATGGGGGTGATGGTATCACAGGTGTATGCGCATGCCTGAACTCATCAAGATGTATACATGAAATGTGTGCATTTTTTAGTATAACAATTATACCTCAATAAAGCTAAAAAATTTTTGAGGGATGATTTTATTGGATCCTAGGGGTAGCGGCATTGAAGAGAAGAGATAAAAATAAGGACTACTGAGATTAAAGAACTAAGAAAGGTAGAAATTGCTTCTTATTATATGCAGACAATAAATGAGCAAGAATCAAAGACATCGCCATAGTTTTTCAGTCTGAGAGACTGAGAATATCTGTTTGTTTTCTCCACCAGTCCTCCAAGAATACTGAGATAATTATTAATGCATGTTGCAATACTATCTCTGGGCTGTAATCCAAAGGAAAGCCTTTGGGAGCTCTGTGGGTACAGCTGGTGGATGATGATCATGAGTTGGCCAATGTTGCTGGTATTCTTGAATATTTTTGATACCATGCAATACAGCAGTGCATGTTCCTGATATATTTGGCTTTGGTGGTCCTGTAATCTAATGCCCCTCCTTGGTATTCTGCAGGTGGAATGTCATCTTTACCACAACCAAAGCAAACTACTGGAGTTCTGCAAGTCCAAGGACATTGTCTTGACTGCATATGGTGCCTTGGGGTCTGACCCAGCCAAGGAATGGTAATAATTTTCATAAAGTTATTTTAAGCATAGATACTATACCTTATTTTTTTAAAATTTATTTATTTTTTTAATTTCAAGATATTATGAGGGCATAAACATTTTGGTTATATTTTATGACTTTGCATCACCCAAGCGAGGATTAGAGGCATGCCTTTCCCCTCTACAATGCTCACCACGTCCATTAGTTGTGAGTTTACCCCTCCAACCCCATAATCCCTGGAGAATATTACTACCATGTGAGCACCATAGTGTTGATCAGTTAGTGCCAATTTGATGGCGAATACATGTGGAGCCTATTCTTCCGTTCTTTTTTTTTTTTGAGACAAAGTCTGGCTCTGTTGCCTGGGCTAGAGTGCTGTGGCATCAGCCTAGCTCACAGCAACCTCAAACTCCTGGGCTCAAGTGATCCTCCTGCCTCAGCCTCCCGAGTAGCTGGGACTATAGGCATGGGCCACCATGCCTAGCTAATTTTATATATATATATATATATGTGTATGTATACATATGTATGTATTTTTTTTTTTTTTAGTTGTCCAGATCATTTCTTTCTATTTTTTAGTAGAGATAGGGTCTCGCTCTTGTTCAGGCTGGTCTCGAACTCCTGACCTTGAGCGATCCACCTGCCTCGGCCTCCCATCTTCCGTTCTTGTGATACCTCACTTTGGAGGATGGGCTCAAGCTCCATTCAGGAAAATATAAGAGGTGCTAGATCACTGTCGTTTCTTATAATTGAGTAATATTCCATTGTATACATATACCAAATTTTAATAATCCACTCATGAATTGACAGGCACTTGGGTTGTTTCCACATCCTTGCAATAGTGAGTTGTGCTGCCATAAACATTCGGGTGCAGATGTCTTTATTATGGAATGTCTTTTGCGTAGATGCCTAATAGTGCTATTGCTGAATTGAATGGTATTTCTATTTTTAGCACTTTGAGGAATCTCCAAATTCTTTCCCACAGAGGTTGCACTAATTTGCAGTCCCACCAGCAGTGTAAGAGTGTCCCTGTCTCTCCACATCCTCGCCAGCATTTGTCGTTTTGGGATTTTTTGATAGAGGCCAATCTCACTGGGGTTAGGTGATATCTAATTGTGGTTTTGATTTGCATTTCTCTATTGATTAGAGATGTTGAGCATTTTTTTATATGTCTGCTGAGATACTATACTTTCTGAAGTCATCTCTCAACTGTCTGGGGAAATTAAAAGTAGACAGTAGGAATAATTTATCTTTGTAAACATTTTACCTAACCCAGACTTACATTATTAATATAAGGACTCAATAAAACATTATTAAATAACAAAATTATTGAAAGCATTTTCTTTTATAAAATTTCAGAATATTACGGAGGTACAAACATTTTGGTTACATAAATTACTTTTGTACCACTTAAGTCAAAGTTATAAGTGTGCCCATTCCCCAGATAGTGTATATTGTACCCGTTAGGTGTGAATTTACCCATCCCCTCCTCCCCCTTCCACATGCTTGATTTCCAATCAATGTTATTTCTATATGTGCACATCAGTGTTGATTGATTAGTTCTAATTTAATGGTTAGTACATATGGTGTTTGCTTTTCCATTCTTGTGATATTTCACTTAGAAGAATGGTCTCCAGTTCCATCCAGGTTAACACAAGAGGTATTAGTTCACCATTTACTTTAAGGCTGAATAGTACTCCATGGTATACATATACTACATTTTATTAATCCACTCATGTATTGATGGGCACTTGGGTTGTTTCCACATCTTTGCAATTGTAAGTTGTAAATATTTGAGTGTAGTTATCTTTTTTATAGAATGTCTTTTTTTCCTTTTATAGAATGTCTTTTTTTCCTTTGGGTAAATACCCAGTAGTGGGATTGCTGGATCAAATGGTAGGTCTATTTTTAGTTCTTTGAGTTATCTCCATACTACTCTCCATAGAGGTTGTACTAGTTTGCAGTCCCACCAACAGTGTACGAGAGTTCCTATCTCTCTGCATAAACACCAGCATTTGTTGTTTTGGGACTTTTTAATAAAAGCCATTCTCACATAAGTTAAGTGGTATCTCATTGTGGTTTTGATTTGCATTTCCCTGATGATTAGAGATGTTGAGCATTTTTTTCATATGTTTTTTGGCCATTAGTCTATCTTCTTTTGAAAAGTTTCTGTTCATGTCTTTTTCCCGCTTTTTAATGGGGTTGATTTTTTTCTTGCTGATTTGCTTGAGTTCTTTATAGGTTCTAGTTATCAGCCCTTTATCGGATATGTAGAAAGCAAATATTTTCACTCATTCTGTAGATTGCCTATTCACTCTAATAGTTATTTCTTTGGCTGTGCAGAAGCTTTTTAGTTTGATCAGGTCCCATTTATTTATTTTTGTTGTCTCTGTGATTGCTTTTGGGGTCTTCTTCATAAATTCTTTGCCTAGGATGATGTCTATAAGAGTTTTTCCAACATTTTCTTCTAGAATTCTTATAGTTTCATGCCTTAGGTTTAAGTCTGTTATCCATTTGAGTTGATTTTTGTGAGTGGTGTGGATCTTGTTTTAGTCGTCTGCATGTAGCTATTCAATTTTCCCAGCATCACTTATTGAATAGAGATTCTTTAGCCCAGTGTATGTTTTTGTCTGCTTTGTCAAAGATCACATGGCAATATGAGGATGGTTTTATATCTGGGTTCTCTGTTCTGATCTACTGGTCTGTGTCTCTGTTTCTGTGCCAGTACCATGCTGTTTTGGTTACAATAGCCTTGAGGTATAGCTTGAAGACCTTAAGCAAATAGAACAAATTGGGAGGCATCAATTTACCAGACTTAAGCTATACTGAAAGCATTTTTGAAATAGCAAATTCTTATACAATAGTTTGTTATTTATTATGATGGTGGAAATTGGGTCTTACTTTGGACAATTGTGTCCTCTTGATTTATTCAATCTTTTACTAAACTTCTCAGAAATACTTAAAAAAAATAATAAAAAAAGGACCTGAGTTTCCTTGCTACCTTACTTTCCTTTTTCCTTCTTCTTTGGGTATAACAAAAGAAATAAAACGGATATTGAAACAGCCAGAGGAGAATAAGGAAGGTTCTAGAGGATTGGCCATCCCTGGCTTGAAGAAGCAGCCTCCAAGTAAAGTGGATATTCATCCTCAAACGTGTAGCATCTCTGCCTTTCCCTTCAGGAGGAAAAAGAACAGCCCAGTTTTCCTGGAGGATCCAGTACTCAATGCAGTTGCTGAAAAGCATGGGCGAACTCCAGCCCAGGTGGCCCTGCGCTATCAGCTGCAGCGGGGATTGGTGGTCCTGGCGAAGAGCTTCAGTGAGAAGAGAATCAAAGAGAACTTCCAGGTACAGAGCAGGGCAGTGGCAGCAGGGGACTGACAGAGGCACATCCTTTGCCATGGATGTGGGTATTTGTGAGGCTGTCAAGGTATGTTTGGGCAAAGCCTGTCTCCTTATACACTCTCTGCATATCAGCACTGTATTTAAGTGTGTTAGCCTCCACCTGCTGCAAGGGAGAGTGTGATGTCTGAAAAGAACACTAAGCAAAGTCAAGATTGGGCTCCAATTCTGGTTTTGCACCTGCATTATAGCCCTGGGTAAATCATCCCTTGACTTCTACAGCTGTAAAGTAAAGGAATTAGATCACATGAGATTTGGGCTCAGAAACCTCTAGGATTCTTTTGCTACAAGGACAGCTACCCAATCAATAAAAGTCTCTGAGGGCAGATTAGAGATGCCAGTCTCAACTATTTGAATGGACAGATTCCCATGACTTTTGCCACTGAATGAATCCCAGGTACATGATAATTGTCTCATAAAACCTACACAAATTCCTACATGAATTTGTGTGCTTGTGAAGAGGAAAAGAAATTGCCTTAGGGAAACTGAATTGGTCCTCTCACATTTCGGATAGGCTTTTGACTTCCATTTGGCACCAGAGGATATGAAAACTCTAGACGGCCTGAATAGGAATATGCGCTATTTCGAACATGCTGAGTAAGTAGCTTGTTGCACTGTAGACAGTGGGGAACAGGACAGTGGAAGAAATTGGCTTATTCCGATCCACGGAAGGCAGAGTCTGTTGCTCAGAAAAGTTGTTGGAAAACATTATTTTCTTCAGAAATTTACTCTAAGGCTCAGGGCTCTTCCCAGACAAGAGTATGAGCAGGACTCAGTGTAAGACGGAGCCCTCTAAACTCTGCACTGCCTCCTGGGGTGTAGAGCCTCAGCACTGGGCTTCACTCCAAACTATATGCTAGAAATTCCCCAATTTCTGTCTCTAATGCAGGCCTTTCTCCTGGTCTCTAGCAGCCTACTGGACAATTCTACTTACTTCCACAGTTCAAACTTACTATATCTAAAATTAAAGCCTTCAGCTTCTCTCTCTCTATACTCATCGTGTTAATACTATAAACATCAGTTTTATGGCACAAATCTCACCCTTACATTTAAGTGACCACCTACCCCTGTTAATTCTATAGCTCAATATTTCTCATGTTTCCCTAATTTCCATCACAAAGCTCACCTTCTCTAATTCGCGTTTTGAATCTGAGTTGGCTCCCTTGCAAAACTGGCCACAGGGGTGAATCTTTAACTCTGGTTTCAGAATATTGTTCAGAACTTTCCTCAAGTTTGTAACTCTAAGTTTTTCAGTAGTAAACAGTAAAAGGGTTTAGAAAATTAGGAAGAAAGAAGGGGAGATGCCAGATATCAATAGAATGGAGGTGACAATGGCAAGAAAAATCCTTTCCAAAGATATACTTTTAATGACCCTTCAAACTTTAGATTCTATGATTTTTTGAAGGCTGTACAAATGGGAGAAATCTGGAAGTTATTTTTTCTGTTCAGTGACATTTAATCATATATGTATGTAAACGTCACAGAACCTGGGAAATGCAAGCCTCTCCCTCAAGGCCTTCTTCAGCAGGAATCAGGGGAGCCTCACAAATCTGTCAGCCCCAGGGAAGACTTCCACTAGCTGTCACTCCTTATCTGCCTTGGGGCTATCATGGTGTTTGCCACTGTTAGTCACCACAGGAGCCTAAAGTCCCTGGTGCCCAAATAGCTGTGTCCATCACCTTGGCATGTTCTCACTGTGCCATCCGAAACTCATATCCAGCCATCAGCAAAACCCTTTTACCCTTGATGTCTATAAATGTTCTCGCTGCTCCCCTGAGCTGCAGCCCTGTTCTTCCTAGCAGCACTGTTTCCTCTTAGTTCTCTGGGGGGCGGGGCAGGGGGGCTGTTCTCTCTCCTAAACTGTTCATAGCGCTAATCTGGAATATTGGGTAGGAAGCCTCTTACCCCTCACTCATCTTCCCAGACCATTCTCTCTCCCCTTTCCTAAGAACACTCCACTCTGGATCTCATGTCGTCAGACTACCCCACCACTTCCCCTCCTTGTTGCAGTCATCAGGACTGCATTCCCGGTCAGTGTGTCTCATCCATGGAAGATTTTAGTTCCTGACTAATTGTCACTCTCTCCAGCAGTAGATCTGTCATCATTTCTTACGATTTCCAGAGAGATGACCTTTCAGTGTTTTGACCTCCTCTCTTCCAATGTGCCCAATCTCTAGTCTAACTCAGCCCCTCAACCCCGTGGTCTCATCCTAGACCTTGTCATTACTAGTTACTATAACCACTCCACAATCTCAATTTTAAATTCTCACACTGCAGTTTTAATCGTTGCCTCCTACATGTCCAGCTCATTTGCTATATTGTCCAATATTTCAATAATGTTTTGATTGCCAGAGACCTACAGCACGTTGATAGTACCCCCTTTTCACGTTGACCCTCACTGTGCCCACCGCCCTTCTTACCTGCTTAGATTCCAGATATAGATTCAACATAACAATGTCCTTGCACCTTCACTCTTGCCATTCCTTCTCATGTTTTTTGCTGGTTTCTCTTCATCAGCTTGAGCTCTCAGTTGTCGAGTGACCTAGAGCTCAACCTGAGAACTCTTCTCTTTTCTCTCTGCACCCACATTCTTGGTGATTTCATCTAGCATCATGCTTTAAACACCATCTCGATATAGACTCTCCATCTTATATCCAGCCCTGATTGAGGTTCTAGACTAAGATTTGTATATCTGTCTACTCAACTGCACTTGGGTGACTACTAAGCATCTCAAACTTACCATGTCTCTTATTGGGCTTATGATGGTATCTGCAATCCCTAGCCCCCACACATACATAGATACACACACGCTCACACAGACACACATAGAGGGATACACATAGCAAGACACACACACACACAGATACACACACACACAGAGACACACACAGTGACATGCACACACACAGAGACACACACACAAACACAGAGAGATGCACAGAGATACATACACAGCGACACAGAGACAGAGAAACACAGTGACACACACACAGAGACACACACATAGAAACACACAGACACACACAGAGACACATACACACACACCCTGAATATGCTCATGTCGAAGTCTTCCTGATCAAGTGGGTGCCCCTGATTGTTCTCCCTGCTTCTGCACTCTCCCTCATGCATAGTAGTCAGAGCGAATAGTTTGAAAAGTAGGCATAATCAGGTGCTCATCTTCTCGATATCTGGCAGCCTGCATCTCACACAGATCTATGAGGGCCAACAGGTACTCCTTCCCCCACCTCTGTGTCCATGCCCTACTACTCTCCCCTCCTGACTCCAGTGCAGTCCCACTGACCTCCTTGCTGTTCATCACATATGCCAGGCCTGTCTCAGGGCCTTTGCACTGGCTATTCTCTTTGCTTACAGAGCTCCTTCTTCAGATAGCTGGATGGGTCATTCCTTTACATTCTTCAGGTATTAACTCATATGTCATGCTGGTGATGCCATCTCTGTTACTTAATTAAAAATGCAGCTCTTCCCAGAACATCCTTTCCCTCTACTCTGCTTTATTTTCCTCCTTGCCACATATGCCTATCTAACATACTACATAGTTTACTGATTTATTTTAATTTTTTGTTTACCACATTAGAGTGCTGGATTCTGAGGGCAGGCTTTTTGTTTTGTTTTTGTTCTTAAGCTACTATCTCCCTGGGTGCTCAATAAATATTGGTTGAATAAATAACATAATAAAATGATAAAGAGGTAAGGGAGTACGGAGATGCAGGAAGTAACCCATAACAATAAATATCAATAATATTAATCAGTAATAATTATTCAATGATTTAGCATTTTCTATCTCAAAATTATTACTTTATAGAATTTACCTTGCTAAAAGGCAAGCTCCCCACTGAAGTGACTTCATCTTATAATCACTGTGTATATCTCTAAGTCTGATATATAATTTTCCCCTAGAAAAGTCACAGATAAATTATTTCTGAGTGCTTGAAAGAAACTGAACAGTGATGTTTTTGTTACTTTTCTCATCATCACCTTAAAATATTTATTAACTGCAAATATTAAATCAGACTGGGCATTGTTTTAAAAGAGACAGAATTTGTTTTTGCCCTCTTTGGAGTTCAAAGTATAAACACAAATAGTTTATCTTCTTAATTTGTAGAATAACTTACCTGTAAACCTGAATATATTCGTATATTTGTTTATGTGTAGGTATATTTATTTTCCACAATGTATTCATGACAGTGTGATACAATGGTTCATGGTTATTGTAAAACTAGTTGGGTCTGTACTTATCTCAAAAAGAAAACTATGTTAATTTTCATGCTTATGCCTAAATTTAACAGAAATCTCTTTTTACTTAGTCCAATAATAGTTAATTGACCAAGACTCTCCCTTTATGTTTTAGATTTGCTAATCATCCAGATTATCCATTTCTTGATGAGTATTAACAACGTAGTCTGTGGTTGCTCCAGAGTTCTTTGATTTTGGTTGATGAATAGAGAACATCTCAAGAATGAGACGTTATCTGGTTTATTCCGTATTGCTCAGCTTGCTCAGTCACAAGTTGGCCTAAGTTCCCGAATTAGGAAGTAAAAGTCTCTAAACCTACTTTTTATTTCCCTAAAGAAAATAAAGATGTACTTTAAACAACTTAACCTACTGCAGCTTTGACATTTATTTGCCTTTTTGTTTTTTTCCTGTTTCACTGAGGTTGAAGTGCTGACATCCCTGGAAGTGATCATAGGGGATGTGAATCTCTCAAAACACGTGAATCATTTGGTATACCTTCACATTTTCAAAGTCTGCCTTTTCACTTCTTTGTAGTTCTTGTTTTTTTTTTTTTTGTCATTTTCTTCTGTGAATTTTCCACACTATATAATTTTATTAGAACTTATAAATGGATTTAAAATTTAATCAATACATAATACCCAAAGTGTCCAGATTTTAATAAAGGACACTTATTGTACCAAGAACAAGGACAGTCTCAAATTGAATGAAAAAAAATAAGCAAAAGATGCGTACACTAAAATCTGATCAAGATATTATCTGACAAAGATTTTAAAGCAACCATCATAAAAATGTTTCAACAGCAATTATAAACACAATTACAATAAAAATAGAAAGTTTTAGTAAACAAATAGTCTCAGCAAAGAAGTGTAAGATATAAAGAATAACCAAATGGAAATTTTAGAACTGAAAAATACAATAATCAAAATAAAAATTCAGTAAATCCAATCAATAGCATAATGTAAGAGTTAAATGAAATAATCAGTGAACTGGAAGATAAAATAATATAAATCACCCAGTAGGAACAACAGAGAGAAAATACACAGACGAAAAAAAGGAACAGAGCCTCAAGGACCTGTGGAACTGTAACAAAAGGCTTAACATTTATGTCATCAAAGACCTGAGAGCAAAGGAAACAAAGGATGGGTTTGGAAAAGTACGTAAAGAAGTAATAACGGCTGCAAACTTTCCAAATTTAGAAATATATATAAACCCGCGGAATCAAGAAGATAAGTGATCCCCAAACAATCTAAATCAAAAGAAATACACATCAAGACACATCATAATTAAATTTATGAAAACTAAAGAAAAAGAAAAGATCTTGAAAAGAAGCAAGAGAGAAATGAAACCTTACTTACAGGCGTAAAAAATCCGAATGACAGTGGATTTTTCATCGTAAAACCATGAAGGCCAGAGGAAGTGACAATAATTTCCAAGTCTGAAAGAAAATAACTGTCAATCCAGAATCTTATATCCGCAAAAATAGCTTTCAAGAATAAAAGGGATATCAAGATATTCTTAGATGAAGTAAAAATAAAAGAATTTTTGCAAGAACACCTATCCTAAAAGAATGGCTAAAGTAAGTTTTCTAAACATAAAGAAAATGGTAAAAGATGAAACCTTGTAACATCAGGAAGGAAAAAAGATATGGTAAGCAAAAATATGGGCAAATACAATAGATTTTCCTCATCCTCTTGAGTTTTCTAATGTTTGGCAGTTGAAGCAAATCCAAGTTCCAAAGCTGTGCACCATGTCACCCTGGGGCACCACAGTGAACTCACAGGAATGCCACAGGCCTTTCACCAGAGAGGATATACAAATGGCCAATAAGCACATGAAAAGATGCTCAACATTAGTCATTAAGAATAGCTATAATATTAATAACAAAGACTAATGTTGTTGAGGGTGTGGAGAAATGGGAATCCTCACACATTTCTACACTACAATTTCCAGTGTGTAAGAGAATGGAAACTTGTGCAATTTGAAAAACAGTCGTCAGTTTCTTACAACAGTTAAACATAAAACTGCCACACAACCAGCAATCCCCTGCCGTCCTCCCTAAGGTCCATCTAGAGCTCACCATTATCCCCTGAACAAATGATGCCTGACTCTGTTTCCTGCTTTTTATGCCTTTGATTGCCACTTACCCTTGGATTTTCCATTCAAATGAAAAGCGCAAGAGCCCAGTGAAGACGGTATCTATTCAGATAGTATCCCCTAGTCCTAAAGTCATCAGAAATGCACACAAGCCACTTGACGCAGTGGGACCCTCAAAGAGCACATGTTCACAGCTTTCCTCTGTGGAGCTTGCTCTGCAGTCCCCAGTGTACAGAAGAACTTAAACACAGAAGCCACATTCCCTGTAGAAAAGCAGAGGTGCCACAGAAGAGGGAAGATGGCTTTGTGGGCTACACTCTCAGAATTAAAAGGCAAGATGCACAGGGCTGTCAATTACCACCTGAAACGGGAATTAGGAAATACTGATCAAGAATGCAATTGTGGCCGGGCGTGGTGGCTCACGCCTGTAATCCTAGCTCTCTGGGAGGCCGAGGTGGGCAGATTGTTTGAGCTCAGGAGTTCGAGACCAGCCTGAGCAAGAGCGAGACCCCGTCTCTACTAAAATTAGAAAGAAATTAATTGGACAACTAAAAATATATAGGAAAAATTATCCGGGCATGGTGGCGCATGCCTGTAGTCCCAGCTACTCGGGAGGCTGAGGCAGGAGGATCGCTTGAACCCAGGAGTTTGAGGTTGCTGTGAGCTAGGATGACGCCACGGCACTCTAGCCTGGACAACACAGTGAGACTCTGTCTCAAAAAAAAAAAAAAAAAAAGAATGCAATTGCATGTGCTCTGTGAAACTTCTCAAGGTTTACAATTTCCCAGTGTTTGCTTATTTTTGCTATCCACTGTTTCTTTCATCACAGTGGTTTTACAAAGTGTAAGAAACCCTAAAATAGAAAAGGCAGTGCAAATATTGCCATCTCCTGCCAGAACCACAAATGAGCTTGAACATTAAGTGTTCCCCAAGTGCCACCTGGTGGCAGACTTAATTGACAGTTTTCATGTGGCCCTGGGAAATAAGTCCATAAAAGGTAATACTGTAGTCAATCCTCATTATTCAGCTATTTTGAAATACTGAATATATTATTAACTATAGCTGTCCTAGTCTGCAGTGGAACACCAGAACTTATTCCCCATCCAACTGCAGCTTTGTACTCGCTGACCAACTTCCCCTCCCTGCCCCAGCACTCACTGTCCTACCCTCTACTTCTGGTTTAGGTGTAAGTGACAAGTGACATATGCAAAATAGTATGGCTAGATATGTGACTCTGGGAGATAAAGAAAATAAAAAATACATACAAGCACACACACACACATGCATGTGCACACAGAGTACTAGGTGCTGACTGTGTATGTGCTTTATGTACACCACTTAATCCTGATGCCCTTAGGTAGGCAGTGATGACAAATGTAGGGCTTAAGAGACAATCTGCACAAAGTCACATGGCTAACAAGTCACAGGGAGTCAGAAACACAGAAATGTTAAGTCCACGGGGGTGCAGCTGGGGGGAGTCAGAAATTGCCTGGTGACATGGGGGTAGGAGGAGACCCTCTAAGTACCCTCCTATTTCTGGTCCTTTATCAACAGCCTTACTACATTTCTCTCCTTGCAGACTGGCCAAACCATGACACCTCACCCTCAAGCCTACCCCCACTATAATGAGCCTCACTCAAGGTTCTCTCGTCAACAATAAACATCTTTTCATTTTGTGATGCCTGCAGCAAACCTCTCTCTTGGAGCCCAGAGCCAGGAGATTCCTACGTGCCCAGGTACATCTGGAAGGCTGGGCAGAGAGGTGGACATGAGGAATTGAGGAACAGATGATGGTGATAAAAATGGCCAGAGTAACAACCCCTCCTCACTGAAACTTTTCAACAACATTGTGAGGTGCTATAATTATCCCCACTGAACAGATGAGGAAACTGAGGCCTTGGAAGATGAAGTAGCCTGCTTAGGATCACAGAGCCCACATTCCTGACTCAGCAGACCTGCCTGTGGTAAGATGGAACTAGGAAGTGACATGGAGGGAACCATGCTCAAACCAGGCCCCTCTGGCCCCTGGGCAACCCTTGTCTGCTTTCAGATAGGGCAGGAACTCTGAGAGGCTCACATGGAGATGGATGGGGGGTGGGGAGGAGGGTGGGGGGTGGGGAGGAGGGTAGGGGGTAGACACAGGAAAAGGGGAGTGTGACCTCGGGGGCACCATGGGGCAGACATCAGATTTTCTTTCTGCTGAACTCCCTCTGGATAGGAGCCAAGGAGTCAAATAGAAGTTATGTCCCTGGAGAATCAATGTGAAACTGAGGGCACAGAACTAGGCCAGATGCGCTGAGAGGTGGCAGCAAGGGGCAGTGACCGTGGCCTCTGGACAGCACTATGTCCATGAAACCCACCGTGTACCAAGCCAGCCTGGTGTGAACAGCCCTCTGCCAGGGCCTCTTCCTGATATTCTGAGTCTTAAAAGGATAAACAAGGAGATGCAGAGAAGGGAGCCATCTGATTTCTTTCATCTCTGATTTGGCGTTTCCACAGGTATAATTTGACTTACCAGAAGACCTTGTTAAAAATAGTATTTAAAAAGTAAAATTTAGATTTTAAATTAGAAAAAAGAAGCCTCTCTTTTAAACTGAAACTGTTCCAGAATTTACCCCGTTTCCCTTTCCACATACGGAGGGAAGGATTTTGCTTTAAATCACCTCAGGGGTACTGGCAGGGCACAGGAGGTCAGACAAGATGGGCCTGGCTGACAGCAGTTGGAGCTGAGTAATGGGACAAGGATTCATTACACTGTTTCCTCAACGCTGTATGTGGTCAAAATATTGCCATAAAACAATATTTTCTTAAAATGTGAAGGTAAATTTTATTCATGAGTCATCAATACCTTTTTTCAGAGAGTAGAGGCCACACAAGCTGTCACACAGAAATCCCATTTCCATCACTTAGAACACACTCAATTCTTTGGATTTCTCAGAGAAGTTGGCTTCTGTTCCAGGTGGGAATCCTTCCAAACCTACCTCTATGGGGCCCATCCGCGTTGTGGCCACAGAGCCCCTGCAGAGGTGGTCAACATTGCTGCCAGCATCCATCTGTCTGGGCCAAGCAGAAATGAGGGAGAGGGAGGCTGTCCTCAGTATTCTATGAGGAAAGGATAGTCTTTGTGATTCTCAGTTCTAAAAAACAAATCAAAAATAGAAGCAAAGAATGATTAGTTTTAAGAGAAACATTTAAATGATATAGTTATGTATTTTTAAACTCCCTACTGTGTAAAGTTAGTCTTTGGCTTCACTCAGTGGCCCATTTTCAAACAGAAAGGATTATGATAAGAAGGTTTAGTTAATCTAAAATGTATATAACAACTACTTATTCAGGAACCAGTCACCCAATCTGTATATTGCTTTCTTAGCTTTAAAAAGGAGCCATATTTACACGGGGAACGTGGCCAGTCGGAGATTCCTGTCTAGGCTGACCATGTCCTTCATATCTTCTTCTGTTAATTCAAAATCAAACACCTAGAATCAGAATAAAATGTTCATGGAAAATTTAGTTCAATTCACATTTAATGGAGCATACATTACCTACAAAGCACTGTAGGTGCTTACCTGCAAGGGACACACAGAAGTAAAGGAAACACTTCATTAGACACATGGAGTTTACCTGAATCACAGCCTAGGTTCCCAAAATGCCCTTTGATTTTGATCATTTGACTGGTGCTGGCTCAGCCTGAGCTACCCTTAGGAAACCTTGGAATATAAACTGCTTTCATTTTATGAGAGTAAAGGACATATGGGAAGATTTACAAGGTATAGATAACAAAGAATTTTTCCCACTGACCCTCTCCCGAAAACCAAATCATTTGTTCTGCATACCCCACCGACAAGGGAGCCACTTGGGCCGTGCGACTATTAATGCTATCCACATCATGGTATAATGTTTCTGAGTAACCGCTTTTCTTCCCTCTAAAATGGTATTCTGATCCCTCCACTCTTTCATTGCCTCAACACACTGAGGAACGTGGCCCCTTCCACAACATCAGCTTCCTGCAACAATGCCGGCCCCAACCCAGCTGCGGGGCTGGATCAGAGGAAAGGGAGGGGTAGGCTACTGAGTGATCCCAATGTGCCCAGGAGGGTGAGGGGTTAGTGGGACCCCAACCTCTACCCCCACAGGAGTCTCTCCTGAAGCCAGGAGAAATCAGCTACACAGTGCCAGCAGGGATTCTGACTGTGGGAGAGCTGGGGCAGGCAGTGGCTGGGATGAGGGGGAAGAGGGGATGAGGGCAAGAGTGAGCAGTTCTACAAGACTTCCTACCAACCAAGGGCTGCTTCATGCAGCGGGACTGAAGGGCACTCTGGGGCCTGGCACACTGCCCTGGCGGCTCTAAGGGACCCCAGCACTCCTGCCCGGCTTGGTGCCCTTCACCCCTCTCCCAGGCTGACCCTGTGGACCCGGCTCCTGACTCCTCCTGACAGGACAGATGCCTGTTCCCAGCCATCAGCTCACATCTGCTTTGCCCCTTGGGTCACATGTCTGCTGCAAGCAGTCTAACTGCCCAGGAATGGCATTGCCCCTCAGTGTGCACAGACCTAGTGCAAAGCAACAGGGCACTTTGGCTGTGCCCAGAGGCCCTAGGGGAGAGGAAGCCCTGAGATGGAAGGAGCCTGGGTCCCTGGATCACTGGTGCAAGGTCGACCGCCAACACCTATGGTACAGAGGACCAGGCCTCTGCTGTGTCAAGATACAGGGATCATGGGGCTGTTTATACAGGAGTCAGCCTGCCTCAACTAATACACAATCCAAAACCCTCTAACATAAAAGAAGGAAAATACCTACCTGGATATTCTCTTTAATCCGCTCTGGGGTGACAGATTTGGGAATCACTATCACATCCCTCTGGATCTGAAATCGGATCATAATCTGCAAGGAAGAAAAAGTCCAATGTCACACAAAAGAAAATACCATGAAGTCAAATTTAAGTTATTTCCTAAGAGTGAGTTTTATTGTACAGTAAAAGTCCAAAAGTCAAACACAGCAGGAGCTGTTATTACAAACGCTTTCGTACCAAAGGCCTTTAGAAATCAAACTCACATCTTCCAAGCAATCTGTCAGCACAGCAGTAATGATGGCAACCAGCCCAAGGAGGAGGTCAGAGGACCTGCCCAACCCTTCACGAGAATTCCTTAACCTGTGTCCAATCCCCCAAACAAAATGGACATTAGAACCAAGAAGACTATAATAAATGACTTCTCTAGTCCATTTCATACTCGCTGTGCGTGCAGTCAGTGGGGTGGAGGAAGAGGGCCTGGGAACTCATCCTCTGTGTCTAGACAGGCCAGGTGGCAAGAGCGCATGGCTGGAATGAATGGGAGAATGGCTGCAACCAATGAGCTGCCCAACGAGGTCCTGATAAGTCATCAACTTCTCCAGGAATGCTAATCCCTTCCCAGGAACTGCCAAGCCCCAGGACTCTGGGAGGACGTGGAGCAGCGAATTTCCCCTTGGGACAACCCTCCCCAGTACCTGAGCTGAAGACTTGCTGTGCTTCATAGCAATCCTCTGAATCACAGCGTCGTCCATCATGTTAACCCCCTCACTAGAGAGATACAGCACAGGGTGGTGAGCCAGAAGATCCAATGTGGATGTTCTTCTCTTTAAAAAAATAAAACCTTGCTCCAAAATGAAAGGTTTATTATTCTATGATTGCAAACATGCTCACTATAGGAAATTTAAACAATGCAGAAAAGCACATCATCCCAAATTCGCTGTCTGAAGATAAGCACTGCTCACATTTTGGTGAATACAGCTACACTATCTCACTTTTCATGTGTATTTTGTGCTTTTCCTCGAGACCCAGGTGGCAATGTCAGAGCACACAAGGCAGTGGGTTCTCCACATGCCCCTCCAACACTTATGGACTCCATGACTTCTCAGCTTTCTACTGTAGGACTTAGCAGAGTGCCTACAGCACCATTAACCAACATTGTCGATGGTGACGGTATCTCAGAAAAGTTCACCCCAAATACCATGAAGAAGTTAATATTGCGAACATGTGGAACATTTACTGTAAGAGATTTTGAAGATTACCACAGAGTCTCTATCCCTTAACATCTGTCCAAGCAAGGGCAGGCCCTAACAGCTCTGTGAACCATGTTTTCAACAAACATTTATTCCTGTGCTACTGTTTTTCAAGCTTTGGGCTCGTCACAGTCCTCAAGTCTCCTGAAGGAACCAAACAGGGCAAGTTTTCTTCCCCTCTTCCTCTGATGGCTGCCCACTCACTCCACCAGGGGCTCCTCTACCCCAAAGCCCAGCTGTGGAGTGTGACCCAGCCTTGAAGGGACTCCCCAGCTGCTACTAAGTTCATGCCCCATTTCACATGGAAAACACACAGGTGATAAAATCCAAATGATTTCAGCCTTTCTGGGACTCCTAATGAGTCCCAGGCACTGAGCCAAGGGCTGGGAATAGAATGAGTAAGATACCGTCCCTGCACTCAGGTAGCTTTGACTAGTGGAAGAGACTGAGAAGAAAATCATGACAAAATGGGATAATGAAGGCTGTGCACAAAACATGAATAAAAAGGGGACAGGAGGACTTCCTAGAAGAGGTGCTGCTGCTCTGAACATTTGATCAGAAACCAAAGTTAGCCATGTTTTTAAAAAGATAAGATTTCTGATTAAAGGGAATATACAAAGGCAGAGACTAGAAAGAATATATTCTGTCCAAGGAATCACAACTTTATATGGTTGATCCACAGAATGGTTGCAGGGAGGGGGAGAAATGAGGCCAGAGGCCAGCAGAGGCCAGGTCAGCTGCCCCTCACGGGTCATTCCAAGACTGGGAGAATTTTTAAGCGGGAAAGTGACACAGTCATACAGAGACAGCTCCCTTCAGCTGCTGTGTGAATAATGGATTGGAGTGGGGTAGATCGGGTGGGGTGGCTTAAGGGTTCCTCTGATAACCTTAGGGAATTCTTCCTCAACCAAGGCAGTGCCGGTGACAACAGAGATCAAGTGACAGAGTCCAAGTTTTCCTGCCAGAATCATCAACAGATCCTGGTGCTGGCTGGACTGGGGTCATGCAAAGGGATGGTTTCCAAGTTTCTGGCTTAGGTGGCTGAGTGGGTAGTGGCCCCTTAGCTGATGGAGGGAGCACAGCACAAATTGCAGGTCCTGGGGCATTTGCATAGCCTGACGACAGCGAGGTCAGGGGACGTCCTCGCAGAGGTCAGCAACTGACTAATGTACTGGTGAGGTGCTCAGACAGGGGTCCCCTCAGGCTGGCTACCCTCCCAGAGTAGCCCCCCCAGAGCCACTTTCCGGCTTCCAGTAACAGCTCCTTGCCTTCAGCCCAGAGGCATGAGAGCTATCGACAGCCCCTGAGGCCCCTCCATACCCCACCCACACTTTCACGAAACCCTCCTCCAAGTCTCCCAATGAAATGAGAGGGATGGACTATTTCCCATTAGGCCCCTGACTTACACAGCCACTGACCATTCTTACCATGAGCCACCAAGAGGACGGTAAGCGGTCACAGACACATTTCTGGACTGGCAAAAATCAATCAGATCCTTCTGATTAAGATATGGGTGGCACTCAATCTACAAGAAGAATCATAGTTAACACAACAATGCCAACCACTAGGTATGCTAGAAAAGCTCTAAAAGGGAAGCCCTACGTCTATGTCTTGGCTGTTACTAATTAGCTACAAGGCCCATCTCGAGGCCTGAGTGCTTTTGTCTGTGAGAAGGCTAGACTAAGCAATCTCCAAGTCCCCAGCTGCTGTCAAGGTCTCTGCATCTGTGGCCTTTGGACACCTACCTTATCTGAAGGCTCCAATATCACCTGTACAGCAAGGCCATCCCTGAGCACTCAGGCGAAATCTGCAATACTCTATAGCCCCCATGTCCTTCCTGTCCTGTATTTCCTCTACAGCACCTATCATTATCTGACATCTCATATATTTTATTTATTTGCTTATGATCTGTCTGTTGTCACCAGAACTTAAGCTTCAAGAAGACAGGGATTTTTGTCTGAGTTTTTTTCTGTTCATGGATGTCTTCCCAACACTGAGAACAAGCTAGACATATAGAAGATACTAAAAAAAATATGTTGAATGAATGAATGAAACTGGGTAGTTAATACAAGTGACAGCTACATGTTACAGGTGACCCCAGTGAACATTTTAAGAAACTGGAGAGCAAGATTGCTGTCTCTTCCATATTCTTCAAATTCTCATGTACAATTCCAGATTAAAAGTAGACTTAAAATAAATAATCATTTAGCATGAATTAAAGAGAACTATGAATTGTGCCTTTGCTCTCAGGAACATGCTAAGTTCTATATTCCTGGGTGTCCACAACCATACCAGAAAACAGACCCTCCACCCCACCTCATCCACCCAGACTATACAACAATCATTCTCAGGTATTTAAAGTGCTGATCACCTGGAAATAGTGACACAAAAAGAAGCTATTATTCATATAAACATATGTATAAACTTATATATATAAGATTTTAAAAGAAACAAAACTAAACTATGTTAGAAGTCAGGTCAGTGACTGCTTTTTGTAGTGGTGACTGGAATAGGACATAGCTGAGCTTCTGGAAGCCTGAAGATAGTTTTTCTTTTTCTAGGTGCTGAGTACTTTAATATGTTCACTAGTGAAAATTCATTGAACTATGTATGCTCTTTATGATTCATGCACTTTTCTGTATCTACGTTATACTTTAATTTTTTCAAAAAGCATATTTATTGAAAAAATAGAAAATAGAATGTGATGCTCTATTCTTAACACTCCCAAACTGTGAACTACTCAAGTGCCCATCAACAGTAAAATGGGTAAGTTGATCGTGGTATGTTCACACAATGGAATATCACATGGAAATGAGAATCAATGATCTACAATCACAGGCATATATGGATGAATCTAACAAACATGTTGTGAGAAAGAAGCCAGACGCAAAGGAATTTACGATGTATTATTATTTTACTTTTATTTTTTTTCTTCTTATATTTGCATATTATTTTATACATACAGGCTCTTTGGCATACATTATCTCAGGTATCTGAGCCACACAACCACACTTTGTTATTAAAAAAATTCATCTATAATGCTGTTCTAAGTATTTCCTGCAGGGCAGGGCTGGTCATGGCAAATTCCCTCAGTGTTTGCTTGTCTGGAAAAGACTTGATTTCTCCATCAATTGTGGAACTTAGTTTTACAGGATACAAAATTCTAGGCTGGCGGTTGTTCTGTTTCAGAAGATTGAAGATGGGGCCCCATTCTCTTCTGGCTTGTAAGATTTCCACTGAGAAATCTGCAGTTAGCCTGATGGATTTTCTTTTGTAGGTTATTTGTTGCTTTTATCTTGCTGCTTACAGAATTTTTTCCTTTATTTTGACTTTGGCCAGGTTGCTTACTGTGTGTCTTGGAGATGTTCCATTTGCTATGAATCTTCCTGGTGTTTAATGTCCATCTTGTATCTGTATGTCTGAATCTCTGGCAATACCAGGCAAGTTTACTGAAGTAATTCCCTCAAACAGGTTTTCCATGCTTTTAGCTTTTTCTTCTTCTCCCTCAGTGATACCCTATAATTCGAATGTTAGTTTGCTTCCCTTAGTCCCATCTCTCTCTCAGTGATTGCTCAGACTTTTTTATACTCCTCTACCTCTTTGCATGACTGGGTTATCTCAAGAGCCTTGTCTTCAAGCTCTGAGATACTTTCTTTTCCTTGGTTTAGTCTGTTTTTGGAGCTTTCTGCTGTGTTTTGAAATTCCCTAAATGACTCTTTCATTTCCTCAAGTTCTATTATATCCTTCCTTATGTTGTCTAGCTCTTTAGCAACTTTTTCATTGATTTCCTGAAAAATTTTTTGGCTTCTTTTTGTTGGTTTTCAACTTTCTCTTCAATTCCATTCATCTTATTTGCCATCCATATTATGAATTCCATTTTTGTCATTTGGCAATTTCTTTGTGGATGGAGTCCACTACTGTAGCTCCACTGGCATCGGTTGTGGAAACCTGGGATTGGCAGCCACCAAATCTCTGCTGCACCTGCTCTCCAGTGCAGTGTCACTGCACAGACTCTGAGCAGCTCCCCAATCAGCCCAGAGGTCTGCAGTGGAGGAGGGAGAACCCTCGCAGCTCAAGGTGCCTGCAACTTTCATTCCTCTCCTAAAAAGTGGTGTCCCCTCAGGTTGCTTCCACTCTGCTGTCTTCCCCTCTTCTCAGTAGTGTGAATTACATTGGGGCCCTAGCTTAATCTCTGAGTTGGTGGGTGGTACTTGTAAGAATCAGCCAAATCCTGTTTGTTTGAGTCAGTATATATTGTAATGAGCTATACAGTTGTTCTCCCTGTCAGTGGTTGATGCTTGCAGGAAAGAGCCCACTGCAGACATGTTCTTTTGTGCCTGTAATAGGCTCTAGCCCCTTAGAAGAAGCACTTGAATGCCCCAGGAAATGGGAGGGGCCCTGTAGCTCCAAGGGATAGCTTGTTCTCCAACATGACAGAGGTGGGTTGAGGAGCCAGGCTGGGCAAGGTCAAGCTGGGCGAGCTTGGAGAGCTCTGCAAAGTAGGCTCTAAGGTAGTTTCCCAGGCTTCCTCCGCTGGGAGGGGGAGCCCAAGCATCTTCCCCAAAGTGGAAAGACTGCTCGTGGGGAAGGGGCCATCTGTAATTCACCAACTGGTTACTCAGAGTAAGCTCTGCCCCTCTCTTGCTACCCCTGCCCCCACAGTCTCCTGCCAGTGTCTATTTGCAAACAGGTGCCAAAACGCACCGCTTGGCAGCAATGGCTCTGTTGGCTGGGAACTTCACCGCTGGGGAACCACCCTAGTATGACAACGTGATTTGCCTATGGTGGGATGGGTGTTCCATCAGATTGCTGAGGCTTGGACCCACACTGAATTCTCCCTGTCAGTTCTGTCCACATGGGCATATCCCCCGCCCCGCCCCCCGCCTACAGAGTCAAGCTCTTAAATCTTTTCCTTGTGCCCCCTAGCAAGGCCTGGGGGCACAGGACCTGTCCTGTGTGTCTGACCTGCTGGCATGTATCTCTGGGGAGGGCTGGCAGGCAGGGAACTCCCAGACTGGGCACCCCTGGGTCCACTGTAGGTCCTCAAGGGGAAAGGTGTGAGCCCCACTGTCTGTGGAAATCTCAGACTGGAGGATGCGCCAGCTGGGGAGATGTGGTCGGTCCTGAAAGGCTTGGCTCAATCTGCCCTCCTGGCTGCAGTGGGCAGGGGAGGGAGAGAGTCTGAATGGAAGATAGCCAGGACCCCAGCTCCTCTCGTCCCTCTCCCAGGAAGGAAGCCTGCACAGAATGTCCACGCTCTGGGATCACTGTAGTTCTCCACACAACTCAGTGGTTGCATCTGCGCTTGGGCTTATAAGGGTGAAAAAGCTTCCAAACAACTAGGTAGCCCGCTGATTACCAACGGTATTTGGGAAGGAGAGATGGAATTCCCCCTTACCCCTTCACTGGGCTCTGTGCCTCTCCGGGTTTGATCCTGGCCAATATCTTTTCTTCTTTTTCCTTTTCCTGTTTTGCTTTGCAATTTCCCTCTGTGAAGACCCCAGCAGGCTGCGGCTCTTCTTCCTCTGAACCACACCTGAGCTGTGCCCATTCCCCCCTCTCCTTTATCTAAAACCCTTCCTTCCCTCTGGGACACTCCAGCAGGTAATGTCTCTAGTCAGCCATCTTGCCCTCTCTCCATATTATTATTTTAGCTGTATAAAGTTCAAAATCTAATCCATGCTCCTAGAAATCAGAACAGTGCTATGCTCTGCAGGGGTGGGGTATTGGTTGTGCTTTGTTTTTTAAACTGGATGCTGGTCACAGAGCTACACTCAGTTTATGAGAATTTATCAAGCTGCATTCTCACATGTGCACTTTTACATTTTAATACAGTAGTCCTTTCATCATAAGTCATCTCTCTGCATTAAAAAATGAAGTGCCCAAATCTGTTTCTGCAATCCGTGAGCCTAGTGTGAAGGCATCTGGTCATCTATGCCTTCCTGCTGCAGTCTGCATGGTCTGGAGGAGGTAGAGGGAGGTCTATGTTCCTCTTACAAGGGTGAGGTGTCTGCCAGGACACTTCTGAACACACCTGATAAACCTGCCTGTAATCACTCATGGGGGACCAAAAGCCAGCTTACGCCCTACCTGCCAACAGTACCACCTAACCAGACCCACGTTAAAGAAAGCCACTTCCCTACTCACCCCATCACTTGCCTAACTGCTACCATAAGTCACTATCTGGATAGCCACTAGAGGAGAAGAATGCCTGTTTCATGCCCCACCATCCTCCCATTTTCATAAGAGCCATATGGAAGTAATAGCTGGGAAGCCAACTACACCGGTTAAGCCCTCTGCTGCTTCCACCATCTCACCTGGTTGGTTATTGGCTTGAACCTCAACCCAGGCTTATTCAAAAGCCTCTCAAGCTGTTCATGGTTGAAGTTTGACACCCCAATGTCCTTCACCAGCCCCTCGATCACCAGATCCTCCATGGCCTACAAGAGAACAAAGAAATCTGTTGGGCATGCAGGTGCTGTCTACTTCACTGATAATCTATGCCGCTGGGCAACTTTGTACAGTATTCTAAAACTAGCTCCATCTCATATTTTTAAAATACTTTACCTGAAGCTTCAAAAGAATTTCTGCACTCAAGTTCTAATTTCAGTTCCATTTCTTACTAACTGGGAGAGGCTGGGCAAGTTACGTGACCTCATGAAGTCTCAATGCCCACATTCTCAAGAGGAGGACTGCATTGTCCCTGTCACAGAGTTACTTTAAGCATTATGTGAAATCATACACAGAAAGCATTTAGCTAAGGCTGGCATCTAGCAAACACTCAACACATTTTAGCTATTCATCTTCCTATTACTCTGAATATCTGTTGATATGGCATCTGGCAAGTATGTCCACTGCTGATTTTATATGCTCACCTTTCTTTCCACCTAGATACTGATCTTCTTAAGCACACTGATGGGTCATCATTCTATCCTACCCTCACCATATAACATTTTAAGGGACTCAATGGCAGAGCAACCTAAATCTTTGAGCTATTCACTGACCAGCAAACCAAGCTGGCCCTCAGCTCCAGGAAGAGCGTGGCCTCATGTCAGTGTCAGCGGTTGGCATTAAGTTCTCAGTGATCATGAGGCCAGTGGCCAACGAGTCAACGTGCACCCATTACTCCTCAGTTTTGTAATCAGAGCCTTGCTTGTACTGCATGAACACCCTAGAGTTTAACCCAATTCTTTCAGGAGAGGCAACACAGTGTGACAGAAAGAGCTGGGACCCATGGGCATTGGTCCCCATGGTCAGTCTGTGTCTCACTCTGGTCCTAGCCTGGGACTCCTCCCTGTCTATGGCTCCCTCCCACCCCTCTCCATGGAGGACCACAGGTGCTCCCTAGGCTTCATCCATCAAGCTCTTCCCTAAACTCAGCAAGTTTAAGTTTGAACTCACTTTCCTCATAGGCCTCAAATGTGCCATCCTCTGTCCCTCATGGTGGTTAGCAACATACATGCACTTGGTCAGCCAATCTATGATCTACTTCTTTGAGACTCTCAAATCTACTGCCTCCCTAATTCCCCTGCTCACAACTTTACTTGAAACCCTTGCTGGGTTTCCTCTGGACCCTGGAAACAGGCTTGACACTTGGTAACCCTCCCCCATACTGCTCCCACCTCCCCAACCCCAGCTTCCCTATGTGGAAAATGGATTTTTAATTTTCTTTTTTTCTTCTGTATTTTCTAAAATAAACATGATTTTTTTTAAATAAAAAAAAATGAATATTTGAGAAAAAAGGAGAGAAGTCTGTATTGGCTATCTCTAAAATGTTTCAGAGAGAGGCACCATACTAAACCAAAAGTAATGAGAATGTCATTTGAGGTCTCTGAGTTCTCCAGGGTTTATTCCTAGTTCATGCTGCAAACCCCGCACCTCAAGTAGACAACCCTGGCATCTTTGAACACGAGAAGTGCAGGTCTCACCACTCCCGGTTTGGAGACTCACCACAGGGGTGAAACTGTTTGGCGGTGTGCCTCTGCTTACCTCCCACGTGTCCAGGAAGTCTGTGTTACTGGGTATGATCATGCCATTGTGGTCCATAGGCAAGTCTGTTTCTCCAGGCTGTGAGAACCAGAAGAAAAAGAACTTACTGGGGTTCATGAGGAGACTGGGTAGAGGGAGGACCAAGATGTATGAAAAAAACTCTGTGTGTCAGGAGATCTGTGTCCAACCCCTGGCCCTGTCACTAAACAACCCCAGCCTGGCCATTCGACTGCCCTTCTTCAGGCTTTAGGCTTCACCTTTATAAGATCAAGGGTTCAGTGGACTGAATGGCTGGCAAAGTCCTGACTAGCCTCGAAGTTCACTGTCCATTTCCTACAAGGTGGGGAAGGAAGACCTTGTGTCCTCGCTAATGGCCAGAAAGTAGTTTAGTAATTTCAGGTGAAGAATAGGGAAAGAGGACTTCCTTCATGTCTCAAGAGCACAGTCAACCTTCTCCCAACCTCATTGTTAGGATCCTTTTTTCCTTTCCTAGAATTCCCATCATGATGAGAGATAATGATGTGAGAATACAAAGGTGCACGGGAGGTGGGAGACAGAGCAAGACACCTCGAAAGGGTAAGAATCTAAAGTCACCCTTCAGAGAAGTTGTAGCTATTAATTTGCAATCCACCTGCCTTGCTCATGCAGAACCCTACATAACATATTACAGGGTGAATGGCATAGACACCTAATCATTTTCCTGAGAAATGGTGGGAAAATGTCAAAAGTTCCAGCCTAATCCATATCTTAGAGGCATTTTCCATTATAAACAGAAGCAACAACTCACTTCAAAGCCATATCCCATGCTGATATTTATCTATGCCTCCACAAAAATGCTGTCCTGGCCTCATCCTTGGACTCTGATCTTCTGATCGTCCAGCATCATGCCCAGCCTAGAAGTTTCTACTATCCAGAAGACATGCTGCTGCTGCTGCTGCACTATTCTCCTCTGGAGTTGTTGAGTGATCTGAGACCTTTTTTTTCCTACCACCTATATATCCAAAGACAGGAACCTGTGAAAGGATGAGGGCAGGCAGGAAGTAACATATTTGTCCTGAACATATGCTTCTAGGCCCAAATAATCTTAAACGTTTTGTGCCTCGGTTTCATCATCTGTACAATGAAGATATTAATAGTGCCTACCTCATAGAACTGATGAGGATTAAATGAGTTAATATATGTAAAGCACCTAATTAACAGTGCCTGGTATATAATTAAAATAATGCTGGTTGGTAATAAGTACAATATAGCTATTATCATTGTTTTAATTACGATTCTCTGAATGCCCTGAACTTCAAATACAGGCATCATTCTGAATCATCCTTCTTGTTCTGCTCTCTGTCAGTGTGACTGATGGACAGCTGCCTACCTCCTTTACTGAAACTAGATACAAAGCCTTAGAGTAAAGCTGAACTAGAAATGAAGTGGTTTTTGCTATTTTATTCTAAAACAATAACCAACAGTTTGGCACATACCATGGGACCCTCACATAAGGTAGATGTACAGAGACTCCTGAGGAGCAAAGGTCACCCCTTCCAATGTAGGAAGAACATTCCCTCAAGAACTTCACAGGTGCCACCTGTGTGACTGGGCCATTGGTCAGGTAGGCTGTCATCTCATCTCAGCCTGGGGCAGATGTGAAAGGACATCTGGCCAGTACCCATAGGAGACTGAGACAGGGAAAGCTGCTGAGGAAGGTTTGAAGGTACAAAGGGGTCTGAGTGAAGAGAATAAAACCAAGTGAACAAAGAATCTACCTCCATAACCAACTAGACCCTGCTGTAGGTGAACAAGCAAATATCTCCTATGCTGCAAAACAGCAGTCACTTCCCAAAGAGAACAGAATCTGCAAGCAGAGATAAGGCCCAGGACTTCACTGGGACTTGGGAATGACTTAAGCAGCAGCTTTGAGCATCAGTAGTTCCTCATCTGATTCCTGCTTTCACCTACAGACTTAGGGGGGGAAAATTTACTGCTGTCTTGGCTCAGAGAAAGTGACTGGCTTGAAAGACAGAACTGTGGGGGCCTCAGAGGTCCTCCAATCCAAGTCTTTCCTAAAATGAGGCCCAGAGATATCAAGAGGCCTGCACAAACCCTGCAGCCAGCCTGTGGCAGATGCAGCGCTGGAGCCCTGGGCCCAACTGCTGGTCCATGCTCTTTCCACCACAGGATGGGCTGTGCCCACAGGGAGGAGGGGCCTGCAAAGTGCATATCTAACCACCTGCTGAATGGTACCTTGAAACCCATGGGCCAGTGCATGAGGTAGAGGTCCAGATAATCCAACTCCAAAGCCTTCAGACTCTTGCTGCACGCTGTTTTCACCAAGGACTTCGTGTGGTAGGTGCACCACAGCTACAAAGGAGAGGGGAGACTATTGTTGCACAGGGCCAGCACCCAGAGCTAACATAGCACCCATTCCTTGGTCCCACAAAGCTACTGTCTTGGACCAAAAACATTGACGTTGAGACAATAAAAAATATAACACAACAGGTTCTGAGGGAAGGATGGTGACATTATCCTCAGAAAAGTTCCAGGACTCCCGCAGGGACAGGCATCCAACACTGGGCTCCTTCTGCCTGACTGCTGCTCAGGGGAAATTTGGCATTTCAAGCGATATCTGATGGTTATTTGAATCTACTGGGACCCAAACCCAAAACCAAAATAAAAAAAACAAAAACAAAAGAAAATTCCTGCAGGCAGAAAGAATATGAAGAAAAATCAGAATCTCCATATTGTTTCCCACTTGCACAGATTCCACGTCAAAGGCGCTCTGTTACCAAGGCATCATTACCATGCAGGTTAAACCAGGTGAGTTAGCATATACTGTCTGATATTTATCTAGCTATTTCCTTCCACATCTCCCACTAAGTAGAAAAACTTGTAGCTGTTTTTCCCCCATTTTCCCCCATTATGCTTTTGTTGACTGTGATAGAAGGTAACCTGAAGGTTCCATCATGGCAAGTGAAAAGCAAAAATGCTAAGTTAAACGAAAGTAGAAGAAAGGAGATTAAAAGAAATGAAAACAAATGACAAGCACAATGTATTAACTATGTAAAAAATCAGACAAAAACCAGAAGTAAATACATGACATTGTTAACTGTAGTTGTCTCTAGGTAGTGAGTATACAAGTAATTTATTTATTTTTACTTACATTTCTATGACTTTTCTAAATTTCCAAAATAATGAGCATACTTCCACTGCCAGCTATGACCTACTTAGAAGCAACTTGTCCCCAAATCAAGGGGTGAATCTTAGGATCCCTGTTGTCTGTATCCCAACTTTAAGAACTCAGAAGAAAGGCTCGTCCCTCGGTCAGGCACACGCCAAGGCCTCTCCCTTACACCCCTCTGCTCTAGCGTAGACAGCAATGATGGATGACAAAAATTAACTGTCTTAAAGTACAATAGAAGGAAAATTGGTCATAGAAACAACATTGAATCTTGGAATTATGGAATTTTAGAACTGAAAATTATTCAGGAGATTATCAAATCCAAAGTCTCGCTTTAGAAACAATGACGCTGTGACCCTGTGATGTCCAATCATTAACACAGCTCTGAATGACAGGTGAACCCATGTCTCCTGATCTCATAGTATTTCATTCTACTTCAAAGTCAAAAACAAAGGAATTCTCTAATCCTCCGCGATCTCGGTCTACCCTCTGTCTTTTCTACAGGCTTGTCTCCTGACTGTCATTCCCCAGCCCTCTCCCATGGTGCAGTCCAGGCTTGCATTATCTCCCACCCACACCACTGTTAGTGTCTCCTAACTGGTCTCCTGCCTCTGCTTCAAATGCATGCTCCTTTCAGCTGCTACAATATCGCATACACAACACAAGTCTCCCTTACCTACAACATAAATTGCTGTCCTTAAAATCTTAATGGTTCTCCTTTGTTTCTAGGAAAAAGCACAACTGGTTACATGGCACACTGGGACTTCCACAGCCTGACTCTGTCCACCACCCAGCCTCACTTCTCCTAGTTCTCTGTGGCCTCACACTCTGTGATCCAGGAACAACAAGCTTCTCACAAATCATGCCTTCAAATCCCTGCACCTGCCCTGCTGGTTCATGCCTCGTGTCTGTGCTCAAGCTGCTCCCTGTTCAAAATGCCATCCCTGACATTCTCACCTGCACCACTCCCAGTTTCTTCTTCAGCAGATCTGGGGTCAAATTTGGAATCTACATTTTAATAATCACCCCAAATCTGAGTTTGGGAATCACTGTGTAGACAGAGTTCATGAGGGTTAGAGCTTTGTCCTACTCACCACTGCAGCCAATGTGCCCAGCACGTAATCAATTTTGGTTTCAAGGATCTGTTACTAATTGGGGTATTTGTGTGCAGTCCATCTGCACTCCACCAAATAAATAATATGAAGCAAATAAATGTACACATAACCTAACTGAGCATGTTTGTGAAACCATGAAAGTTCTTGTCCCATAAAGAAACTGAAAAGCCCTCCAGCTGTGCTGTCTCAGCTCTCTGTTACCGCAGCCCTGAGTGCCTGAGATCCTCACATACTTGCCACTAAGAAGTCTTACCTTACTGACAATGAACAGATCCTCCCGTGTCACGGTGCCATCCTTGATCTTGGAATGGATCCCTGCTCCAATTTCATTCTCGTTATGGTAAAAGTAAGCACAGTCGAAGTGCCGGTATCCTGAATCAATGGCCACCTTTACTGCCTCAATCACTTCTCCTGGACAGGCCTGCAAAACCAACAAAACGGTATTCCTGCCAGTCAGAGGAAACCAACCCAAATTTTTCCCTTTTCACCCAATAATGTGGAGTCAAATGATACATAAAAATTAAGTCACTGAATTGGTATTATTATCAATCAGTCTTAGAATAATGTCAGAGTCAGAAAGAAATTTACAGATCATCTAAATTCCAACTTCTTCACATATTTCAGGAAAAACTATAGGTATTTTTAGTGCCTACAGAGAACTGAGCTAGGTGCTGTGTAAATTAAGAGAAAAAAAGGAGAATTCTTCAATCCGATAAAGAATATCCATATTTTTTTTAAAAAAAACCTAGGGCACACATCATCTTAAATGTGGAAATGTCAGAAGCATTTTCTTTAAAATGAGGTACAAAACAAGAATGGCCACTGTGCTGGAGGTGCTAGCCAGAGAAAGCAGCTAAGAAAAAGCAATTTGTGGCTTAAAGATTGGAAAAAAAGGAAATGAAACTACCACTATTTGCAGATGATACAGTCATTTATGTAGAAAATCCAAAAGAATCTACAGGCAAATTAACAGAAATAATATTACAGTTTAGCAAAGTGGCTGGAAATATGAATACAGCAAAGGTGAAACAAGTAGAAAATATAATTTCAGAGAAATATAATTTCCAGCAGTATTGCAGACTATCAAGTACTCAGGAATAATTCCAACGAAAGCAATGTATGCTCTCCACAGGAAAAACTAAACAACCATGTGAAGAGATGTTAGAGAGGAATTACATCTAGGACAATTTAAGAAGTATACTATGCTTGTTGAAAATTAGATTTAGTAACATAAAGATGTCAATTCTCTCTAAACTCATCTACAGATTTAATGTAGTTCTAATCAAAATCTCAAAGAAGTTTTTCACGGAACTTTATAAACTACAAATAAGGAGCAAAAAAAAAAAAAAAAAAAGCCAGGCCCTGGGTACATGCATCTGTCAAAACTCATCAAACTGTACACTGTAAATCTGTGTAGCCTATTGTACAATTGTTCTTCAATATAGCTGTAAGGAAAAAACAAAAAAGAACAGTCAAGACACCTTTGAAAATGAGCAGGGAGGGGCTGCTTGTCTATTAGATGTGGGGACTTATCATGAAGCTGTAGTCATCAAGGCAGCCCTGAAGGGCACACAGACGGACGAGCTGGCCACTGTCACAAGGCAGAGTCCAGGCCTCCCCTTGCTCTCTCATGCTGTGCTTCAGCCGTCTCCATGAGAACACTCCCAGACTAGCTGCACCAGGATGAGATGTGCGGAGCCAAGCACAGTAGCCTCAGCCATCCCAAGAGAGACCAGTCAATCCCCAGACACGCAAGGGAGCCCAGCCAAGCTCCACGGAGCTGCTCAGCTGCCCACACACGAGGAGCATGCCACTTGCTGGTGCATGCCACTGAGGTCTTGCTTAGCTATGATGCAACATCCTGGGGCAATAGAAAACTGATGGGAGGTTTGTGGTGCTCACTCGCTATTAAAAATAACCAAATAAAAACAAGCCTTTGCTTGGACGAGTGATGAATGATTATGATTAATTCAATTTTATGTTCCTGAGGCCCAACAACAATAACAACAACCAAAAAAACCAAAAAAAAAAAAAAAAATGTTGAACAGGAAATGTTTGACCAATGTTGCATCACAAGATATCAAAAGAATTTCACTTTGAGCTAGGCTGATGCCACAGCACTCTAGCACAGGCAAGAGAGTGCAAGAAAAAAAAAAAAAAAAAAAACCAAAAACCAAAAAACAACAAATATTTTGGCCCCTAAGCATGTTTTCACATATTTTCTTTATCCTATACACAATAAAGTCTGGACTCCTACACTAAACTGTGTGCACAACTAAACAGAGCAAGAGACTCAAAGTTTAATCCATCGTGTGTTTATGGAGTGGCTGCCAAATGCATGTCCTCGGCTAGATGCTGAGAGCCAACATGAGCAAAACCACGTCCTTGACCTCTAAGAGTTAGTTGGTAAGCAGATAGGAGAAAAAATTGAAATAATATTTTGATAAGCAGGGGTTGAGCATTCTAATTCCAACTCATCCAATAAATTCCCATGTGACTCCTTATATCAACATCTTTTTAAATTTTTTTTTTAAACGGCAAATTTGAAAGGCTTTTTTTAGTTAACGCCACGCCTCAAGTTGCTGGCAGGAGTTAGAAAAGTTCGGATTACAGAAAGTTATCCACGGTTATCAGAGGGGAGGGAGTTGCTGATCAAAGGGCAGAAGGCTCAGACCGAGGAGCAGATTTCAAGGTCTACTGCACACCTGGGTGGCCACCGGGAATAATAACGTGTTACATATTTCAAAATAACTAAGAGCGGAAACTTCCAATGTCTCACCATAAAAAACGTTCGATAAGGGAGGCGATATGTTAACCAGGCTGATGTGTTAACACGCCGCAATGTATACACATGTCGAAACATCACACTGTATACCATAAATGCATAGAACTATGATAACGTCAATAATAATGATAATAAAAAGTAGAGAAAGATTCAAAGTGCTTCCACTATCAGGCAACAGTCAGGCTGTTTCTACATAGGGAAGAAGATGAAGCCTCCAAGTTTCCTTTCAAAGCCCAGTGAGCAAATTCCAAGGTCTCCTTATCTCCTGACGGAGATAAGGCGCCCCGTTTTTGAAAGACGCCCCTTAACCCCCGCTGGCGGCAGCCCCCCGCCCGTCTCAGCCCCGCTATGTTTCAGAGAGAGAGGCCAGAAAAACCCGAGGGCAGCGCTCCATGCCCCCCAGCGGCGCCTTCGCCTCACACACCAGCATCCTGTCAGGTGGGCGGGAGGCGAAGGTCTGCTCGCGCCTCGGCCCCGCGCCCCCCGCCTTCGGGTCCCCCCACGCCCTCCGGCCCCCGCCCCGCGCCCCAGGCTCTCCTCAGCCCTCCGTCCTCCGCCCCCGCAGCAGCCCTTCCCCGCCCGCGCCACCTTCCAGGTGCCCAGGCCCAGGACAGGGATCTTCCGGCAGGCTGTGGGCTGCTCCGCATCCATGCCGCACCGCCTACCAGGTGCCGGGGCTCAGAGCGGCTTTCTCCACACGACTCCGGGCGACTCCCAACAGACGCCGCGCGAGCTGACGTAGCGGCGGCGGTAGGAGCCCCGATTGGCTGGGAGCGCCGCGAGGCGGACACTTCGATTGGCTGGAGGCGCAGCCGGCGGGCGCCGCGATAGGCTGGCGGCACCAACGAGGGCTCCCGCGCTTCAGGTGGGGATCCCCAGCCCGCGGGCGGTGCGCGCTCTCTCCAGGTGTGTCTTCCCGCGCGCAGAGCGCGGGGCGGCGCAGGGGCTGAGGAGAGACGCCAGGCCTCCGGGCGGGGGCCCTCTCTGCACAGTGGAGACGAGAGCCCCTCGTTTCCCTCGAAGCAAGGTCTGGGAGGCCACCTGGTCTGAGGCCGTGGAGACGAGGACACGTCAGCGAGAGGTTCCCGCCTGCCCGGACATGGAGCCCTGCGGGCCAGAGCAGGTCCTCACAGGGAGGAGCTCGCCGGGCTCTCGCCGGAGAAGCCCCTGACCGCGCCGGAGCAGGTGAGAGCGGGGAGCAGAGAGAAATGGGGGGCGGTGACCCCGAATGGTTGGGGACACAAGCCTGAGGCCAGACCGGCCCGGCGACCCCGGGAAGGCGTTGCCCTCGGTTTCCTCACGTGTGAAGCGTGGTGTGCAGATTGGCTGAGTGAGGTGGCGCTTGGCGGCCCCCGCACAGGTGACGAGCGTCCGGCAGAGGAGCCCGCGCTTGGGGGGGGGGGCCCGCATTCTCGGGGCGTGGGTCGCGTGAACCGTGATCGCCCGAAGTCCAGAGTTTGCGGCAGGGCTCGCTCCTGGCGGTGTCCATGCTGTGGGTTCTGACAAATGCGTGACGACGTGTGTCCGCCGCTGCAGAACCGTGCGGAACGGCGCCACCGCCCCACGGCACCTGCGGGGCCTCTACCCGTCTCCGTGTTCGCTCGTTCCAGAAGGTCGTGGAGCTGGGCTCGGGCGACACGTAGCCTTTCCAGACTGGCTTCTTTCACTGCGTCACGGGTCTTCTCATGGGTCGATAGCGCATTTCTCTTTGGCGCCGAATAGTATCTCGTTGTCCGGGTGGACCAGTTTACTCATCTACTGAAAGGCATCCGGGGTTGTTCCTAAGTGTTGGCGAGTAAGAATTAGTCTGCTATACACAGCTGTGTGAAGGTTTTGGTTAAGCACCAGGCAATGCAATTGCTGGATCATGTAGTGGAATATGATCAGTTTTGTAAGAAACTGCCAAACTTAACGTCCGACAGGGCTGTACCATTTTGCGTTCTCACAAGCAATAAATGAGAGTTCCTGTTGCCCCACATCCTCACTAGCGTTTGGTGTTGTCAGTGTTTCGGATTTTGGCCCTTCTATAATAACAGATGTGTAATGGTATTTCACTGTTTTAATTTGCAATTCCCTAGTGAGAAGTGATGCCAAGCATCTTTTTATATGCCTGTTTGCCGTATCTTTAATGAAGCGTGATTTCAGATCTTTTGCCCATTTTTAAATTAGGTTGTTCATTTTCTTATTGTCGAGATTGAAGGGTTTTTTTGTGTATTTTTTTTTTTTTTAAGACAGAGTCTCACTCTGTTGCCCTGGCTAGAGTGAGTGCCGTGGCGTCAGCCTAGCTCACAGCAACCTCAAACTCCTGGGCTCAGGTGATCCTTCTGCCTCAGCCTCCCGGGTAGCTGGGACTACAGGCATGCGCCACCATGCCCGGCTAATTTTTTCTATTTTTAGTAGAGACGGGGTCTCGCTCTTGCTCAGGCTGGTCTCGAACTCCTGAGCTCAAACAATCCACCCGCCTCGGCCTCCCAGAGTGCTAGGATTACAGGCGTGAGCCACGGCGCCCGACCTTTTTGTGTATTTTGATTAGCAGTCCTTTATTGGATGTGTCTTCTCCAAAAAGAGAATCTAAGATTTATGACCTTTGAGAAATTGCATTTGGCTGAACCAATGAAGGTAGGGATTGAAGTCTAGTAGGTGATGGAACAGGACTCACTCCTGGCAACAGAGCAAGGAAACAGAGCGAGACCCTGTCTCTACAAATAAAAAAAAAAAAATTAAAAATTATAAAGAAATTCTTGAACATTCTATGCTTGGAATGCATAGACCTTTTTGGAGTAGATGAGAAACATAACAGTGATTACCTGTGGAACAGAGCAATGAGGCATAAGGCAGTTTTTAAAATGTTGGGTATTGCCAGGTTGTTTTTACAATATACATGTCTTAATTTATAATTTCTTAAAATAGTTCATAAATTGAAGCAATGTGAGAAAAGGCATTTTTATATTTCCTTACTGGGACAAAAATGTAGGTTTTAACACGTTTTTTTATAAGCATTATTTTATAAATAATTATTTTATCGTTGATTACATATATATTGAGAGAAAACACACACATTGTAAATCAAGTTGATTACTATTTAGAGTGTCCTTCACTTGAGCTTTGGAAATATTTTGTGACTCTGTAGAGATAATTTTATTTATTCAGAAAATAAAATCGAGGAAAAATAATTGTATGATAAACATAGTTACTTAAATATTAGTGGACAACGTTCCTTCTAACACAGAACTTCAAACATGGTGAAATGCTTGTGGACTTTATAGGTTGGTTCTTCCTGCCCTCTGGTGGCGATTTCTCAAAATGCAGACAAAGCTGTATGAAGGGGAAATAATTAACTGTCGGTATACCCAGGCAGGTGAACCACATTCCGAATTTTAGAGATTTGAGGAGCCGGAGAAATCATCTTACTCAATTTCCTCATTTTAATTTTGCAACATAATCATGACACCTCAATTACATAGTATCTCTTGATATTACTGACATAAAATTGAATTGTAGCATCTCAACTTAGATATTAAATTATCCAAAGCTACAGTTATTTTCTATAAAATTTTACATTTGTGGTTTAATCATAGACCTTATGCCTGCCACATAAGGGATGTTTTGCAAATAAATAAGTAAATAAAAACACTTTTAAGTGTGTTTACTCCTTTTCCTACTATTAGGTAAGTCCTTTAAATGTTCGGTTTTTTATTCCTCATCACCACCCTATGCGCTGTGTGAAGTATATACCCTATTATTCAGATTTCACAAGGAAACAGAATTATACCGAAGGAGGCTGAGAGAACTTAGTAAGTGGCAGGCCCAGGGGTTGAAAAACAATCTGACTCCTCAGTTTGTGCCTTAACTTTCCTTCTTTTAAAAATCCATATAGTTAATTAATTGTGAATTGATTTTAAGGCTTTAATCAGAATAAGAGTTGGTCATGTGCAGCTTGCAAAATATAATAAGATATGATTTTTGGTTAAGGCGTTTGTTTACCTTATTTTTTCACACATTAATGTCTGTCAGCCTCAAAGACCTAGGTTCTTCTATAAAGTTTAAAAATGAAGCTCCATGATTTTAAGGAAAGTGAGTTTTAAGAATATCTAAAGGAAGGTTTTTTTACTTTTCAACTGAAGAATTTAGAAGGAGAACCAAGTGTTAATGTCATTTCCATGGTAGGGCCAAATGGATGCTTGTGGGACAATAAACCCTGGGAAAGAGTACAGAATTGAAGGGTATGATTTCAGATAAAAATCATTATTAACTTCAAAAAGATTTTTCATCATTATGAACTCCAAACTAAACTTTCTTAGAGTTCATTATCTAAAATAGCCTCATTAAAAAAAAAATTCTTGGCCAGGTACAGTGGCTCAAGCATGTAATTCCAGCATTTTGGGAGGCCGAGGCAGGAGAATCTCTTGAGGCCAGGAGTTTCAGACCAGCCTGGGCAACATAGTGAGACCTTGTCTCAAAAAAAAAAAAAATTAGCCAGCTGCAGTGGTGCACACCTCTAGTCCCACCTACTCAGGTGGCTGAGGATCGTTTGAGGCTGGAGTTCGAGGTTGCAGTGAGCTGTGATTATACCACTGCACTCCAGCCTGGAGTGTTCTTATTAACCACACTTTTGGGTGTTCTTGTAAACTATACTTTTGTGATGGATAAACCAAGGCAAAGAGAAGTTTAGTAACTTCTTCAGGATTCCAGTCTAGTAGGTGATGGAGCAGGACTCACTCCGGGGCACCAGGGTCAGCCTGAAAAAGCACAATGTGCTGCCTTGTGTATGATGGCCCACCCTCCTGCGTGGGGAAACACACATCATTATCTGCTGTATATCTCGCTCCTGTTACACTTCAGTTTTCCCAAGTAAGTGTGTCTGTTGGAGAGGAGGAGTGTTCAAAAAATAGGAATTTACCATTACTTTTTTAATGAAGCATTGTCCTGGAAAGAAAGGGACACTTTGGAGAAGAGGACACATTCTTTCATTTGTTCTTATTTATTATGGTTGTGGTATGATATATATTAGCAATAAACAATTCAAAATCGAAATTTAAAAATAGTACCATTTTGGCCAGGCATGGTGGCTCACGCCTCTAATCCTAGTACTCTTGGAGGCAGAGGTGGAAGGATTGTTTGAGCTCTGGAGTTTGAGACCAGCCTAGCAAGAGTGAGACCCCATCTATTAGCTGGGTGTGATGGTGCACACCTGTAGTCCTAGCTACTTGGGAGGCTGAGGCAGGAGGATCGCTTGAGCCCAGAAGTATGAGGTTGCAGTGACCTATGATGACACCACTGCATGCTAACCAGGGCATCAGAGCGAGACTCTGTCTCAAAAAAAAAAAAAAAGAGTACTATTTCAATAGCACCACAAGAACTTGAAGTAATTATGATGTGTAAATCTAACCAATTATGTGGATGTCATAACTGTATGTCAAAACTGCAAAATACTTATTAAAGAAGCACTAATTATGGAAGACCTAAAAATATACAAAGATGTGCTCCAGTCATGAACTGGAAGTCTCTTAAGGTAATAACATTAATTTTTCCAAAATTAATTTATAGAATTAATGAAATTGGAACCAAAATCACACATGATTTAAAATTGATAAGACATTTCTAAAATTTAATGACAATTCAGAGGAAGAGAATAGCCCAAGCCACGGTGAAAAGGGGAGAGCAAAGTTGGAGA